CTCAATATTGAGAAAATTTGGTAAAGTTTGCTTTATACTGGTTTATGCATGTATTGGTCCTATATGTTGTGCTTTTGAACCTATAATATATATGTGAATTATGGAACCCTTGGACTACATTTAGGTATGGAAAGAATGTAACATTAGTTAGTTCAAATTTGATTGTATGGTGTTGTTTATGCTGGAAGAGAAAAATAGTTATTACATTACATATTATCATGACTTAACAAACTTCTCTTCTTTTATGGTAGATATTTCACTTCTAAGTTTGTGTTTTTAACCATATTTTAGACAAAGTTTAATGGAAAACCCCCTACCCCATCAGAGTTGTTTCACAAAACGCACCAACGAAAAGATAACATATGGGTGGATCAAAGATCAACACATGTGGATGTAAGTTTCTTATTTTTCTTCATATGTTAATTTCTTAAACAATTCTATCCTTTTTTTATGTTTTTATCCAATTCACTACTATTCTATGTTAATATTTATAGACAGAGTTTAGTCGTGCATGGGAAGAAGCCTCCCAATTAGGATCTATTGCAGGATGCTCTCCGCTTAATGAATTACATGTTTGGTATAAAATTACTGGAATAAACAAAGGCAAAATATATGGGCTTGGATCTGAATCAAGCAAAATAATTGGGAAAAATCTTTGTCAGGACTCTACTTTATCATTTGTCGAGCTTATGAGAGAGGAGATTGAACAATTAAAATACAAGTTACAGGAAGTTGAGACTGAAAGGGATGATCTCCGTGAAAGAATGTTAACTAATGAAAGAAAAATTCAGAAAAAATGATAAAATGTTGTTCCTCTTGATGGAGAAGATGGATGTTCAACTTACTGAATTGTGAACTGATACTTCTATTTACATATTGTATTTATTTTGTTAGTTTCTGACATCTCCAGAATTATGACTCTTATTTTAATTTATTCTACTTACTTTTAGATTGAATTTTCAATATGCAAAAGAATATTTAATACATGAATGATGAATTTATTTGGAACAAAATTTGTGGTATTATTTTGATGGTTATCTCAGGTAGTATAATTTTGATATATTTAATACAACATATAATGTATTTCATATTCCTTAATCAGGTTTATTGTTATTTTAAAAATAAGATAAAAAATAAAAAAATAGTGACTGATTTGGTCATAATAATCAATCATAAAATTGGTCACTAATTCAGTCACAAAATCGATCACTGATTCAGTCACTGAATCGGTCATTGAAATCAGCGACCAAGGAAAGTGTGACTGATTCGAGTTGATCACTATTTCGGTCACTATTTTTGTTAGTGACCGATTTTGGTCATTTAGTGACCGAATTTTCGGTCACTATTTGGATTTGCTCCAGACTTCAATAAGTTCAACTTGAAGTCTAGGGGTGGTGGCTGGAGGTTTGGATTTGAGCCAAGGTGGTTTGCAGATGTCTTTGGGGTTATAACCCAATTTTTGAAAATGGAGGAAGAGTTTGGTCAAAATCTGTACATGATAATAAAAACTTAAGATAAGAATTATGAAAGGTAAGGTCTGATTTATAGTGTTTAGGGTGATGGGTGGCTAATCGAACGCCTTCTAGAGGTTATGAAGGAATGAAGGTTGATGTTACTGAAGGGCGAGGGAGTCGTGGCTCATAGAGGGTTGTTAGCCATAATTAAATGAACTATAGTGGGCCTGAAAGGTTGCCACTAGGTCGATTGGATCGAAGAGCTTCATGTACTTCACCGAAAGTAGCATATACGTGCACAAGTAATAACTTGGCTAAACATATGTTGGGAGTTCCTCGATGAAACAAGAAGGTTAAGTTATAGTAATGAGAGGATATTTGGATAGAGCGGGGCAAAAGACATGTGTACATAGCCAGTAGACAAAGAAGACAGCATGTTCTTCATTAGAAACTTCAACTAAAGGGTCATCGATAAAATGTTCTTGTAGGAAATGGTTGTATGCTTTCCTATTCCATCGAATTTTTGATTAGATAATTTTATTTGTTGGGAAAGAATTAAAATAGTATTTTTCTCCAATGGGTTTGAGACCCGTTATTGAGGATACATCAACATGTCCAAGAAGTCGATATCAGAGTAGGAAAGGTAAAGAAGGTCATAAATACTAATTTTTCTCCCATGATGTTTGAAACTGGCTTCGACTCGGTCAAACCACTTAATATAAGAGGGTTTCTTTTGGGATGAACCAAAACGATAGACTTTGGATGCTTGAGGAAGAAAGTCTGCTCTGAAATTTTTAAAGTCGTGTGATGAATAATGGAGTTATCGTCGATGGATGTAAGGAAATCTTGAGGATGTTCGGAGTTTTGGATTAATGACCCTCCAAAAGCAAGTGAGACACAACTAACAGAGTAGGGAATTAATACCTAGGTAGGGAAAATCCTTTGAGATTCTTCAGATGCACCAAAAACAGGTGTAAAGGTTTTTCCATTTAGTTCCACCAACTGAGTAGTTATGGGTTGGATGGTGGTTTTGGAGGTTGTAGAGGATGAAATCATTTGAAAATCAGGATATAAGGTAGCGTATAAGTGTAAATATCGATTATATGGCAAAACAGAGAAGGTTTCATGAAATCAATTTAGGAAGTAGGAAAGTGAGTAAGGATGAGGAAGATGAATAGTTTGATTGTTTTGAAAGAAAATATGTTTTCTCAGGAAGTCTAGTGATAATAGGCTTGGTGTAGGCCCATATCCAAATAAATCAAATATTTTGAGATAAAAAATTGGACCAATAACGGATGAAGGAGTGGCAGTACAAACAATCACATTTATTATGAGATTTTTGCATTTATGAGGGGAATGAAAGTAATAATGAAAATATGAGATAGAAACAACTTTTGGTAAAGTAAGAATAAAATATTTGAAGTTTGTATTAGAGATAAGAGGTACATATACTCATCGAGGATTCGTGAAGGTATTCTCATAGGAGGCATTTTGTTAAACCTAAAAATTAAAAAAAAAATCGAAAAAATGGATCGAGTCTGGTTGGGTATCGGGTGGTTAAAAGGAATAAATGTAGTAATTGATGAAGGTATGTTATCGAGGTAAAATAGTGGTTAGGATTGAGTTTTTCGAAAAAAGACAAAATATCCATAAATTGAGATCGAAGAATTAAAAGAGAAAAATATCAAAAAATTAGGAATTGAAGATTTAAAGAGTGAAAAAAGTGGACATAAATATATCGAGAGGAAGGTATAAGGAATGATATTTCAGTAGTGCATTAAAGATTGATGAAGGTGGTTAAGAAATAATGTAAAAGTTAACGTGTATCAATAAAGTGAAACAGTTATAAGAGAATAACTGTTTGAAAGATTTTATTTGTAATTTTTATTTTTTATTATTTTTATGGTTGCTTTAATGGTTAAAAAAAACAATATATAATATATATATATATATATATATATATATATATATATATATATATAGAATAAAATAAAGGTAATTACGTGTGATTGTCAAATTATACAACTTACATTTTGAAAAACATTATGAACTAGGAATAAATATTTACAATAGAGCCCTTTGCAATTTGGATTGTCACTTTAATTGATATTCTCTATCAATTTATCCTTGATAATGAGTTATATTTATTTTTATGCTATTTAATTTTTTATAGATTTATTTTGCCAGTAATTTACTTTTATAATTCTTTTATCATTTTTGTAGGTTATCTTAAATATTTCAAATTATAATAAATATAAAAATTTGATGTGAATATTTTTTTATTAAAATCCACTATAGTGAATTTTGAGTAAAATGAAAAGAATCTACAAAATATTCAATTAATTCGGCATATAAATTATATTAATTATATTAAACAAAAAATTATTTACATTAAAAATAATATAATATTATAATAAAAGAATACGTAAGAGATAATAAGTAAAATAATTTTAATAAATTTGGACCACTGTACTTTCGATAATTCAAAATAACATATTTTTAGAATAATGAGTTTCCAAATTCACGTGAAAACTAATGTATACATGTTTGTGTCTATAAATGCCTCAAAGATGTTTTATAATTTTCATATAACCATTATATAAATTATTGAATAAGTGTTAAAAAAGTTCAAAAATTGAAAACAGTTACAATTTTGAAAGGACTAAAAATATAAATAACCAAAATTATTAATTTTAAATATTAAAAATAAAAATGAATATTGATAATAAAAATAAAGGCTAAAAATATTGTTTTATTTTTAGTCTTTAAATTTATTTTAATAAGTTTTATATGATGATGAAAATAATTTATAATTTTTTTAATTATAAAAGCAATGTAAATAATACAGTTGTATAATAGATATTTATTCAATAGCTTAAGAGTGTTATTAAAGATTAAAAAATAATATTTTTTTATTGATTCGAATCTTAGTGTTTCTTTATATATATATATATATATATATATATATATATATATATATATATATATATATATATATATTATAAATATTAATAAATAGTTTTTTTATGAATTATTTAAAAGTTGGTGATCCTTAATTTCTGATATAGAATTTTGCATGTCATCTTTAACATAATTTTATTTTTCAATATTATTTTTCATTGACAATTTTAAATTAAAGATTTTATAATAATACACAAATAAATAAATATGCATCATATGAGCATAATTATATAAATCAATAAATATGAATTGAAACATTTTCCAATAATTTGTTTTAACAACATTTAGTAATATTCTTCCGTAATAAAGTAACAGTAATGATTTTCAATTTGTGTTTTGTCTTCTATTCCTCCACCTCCTTGTTTCTTCCCTTTGTCATCTGTACCCATGATTCCAGTCAAGAAGGAATAATCTCTATAAGTAATCAATCAGTTGACAAAGTTTCTCAATCTCCATTTCTTTACTACACACTTCTTCTTCTTCCTTCATTCCTTCTGCACTCTCCTTCTGTGTCATCTATCTGTTGCTAGGGATTGATTATTTTTCTCTCTTCACCTTTTGTTCTGCTTCGACGAAGACACGGCAATGTCGGAGAGGAAGAACAAAGTGTATTTCACGGAAGAAGATGCTGTTGCACTCATGCAGAGGTATTAAGATATATATATATATATATATATATATTTTTTTTTTTTATAATTTTGTGTTGGGGCTTCAAAAACTTCAAAGATTTGGGATTTTGTGCAGGTACGACCCAACTACTGTGTTCACGTTACTTCAAGAAGTTGCGCATTACGCGCAGCCAAAGATTGATTGGAGCGAATTGGTGAAGAAAAGCGCCACTGGGATTTCTAATGTTAGGGAATATCAAATGCTGTGGCGGCATTTGGCCTATCGACATTCTTTGCCTGAAAATTTTGAAGTTGGGGCTGAACCTTTGGTCAGTATAATACTTGTGAAATTTATTTTTTATGTTAGGTAAAGTATATTTTGTTAAATTAATTTTAGGGTACTTCGAAAGAACTTGTTTACAACTTCTTTGAACTTATCACACCACACAGCCCAACTTCCGTTGGCGCGAGTGGCTAGAGACTTACGTGGCTACCTAACCAAAGTGAATTGAGTTCAGTTCCTGGCTCTTGGGAATGCAGCAAACTCAAGCTTGTTGGAGATTTTCACCTATTTGGTGTCTGTCAAACTCGAAGGGAGATTGGTCTTATAGGATATTGGTGCTAAATAATGAAAAATGAAGTTTGGTTACTTTATAATATGCAATATCATTGTGTTTATGATTTGAAATCCTGAATGCACCCGAGTTTTTTAGCTGTGTCCTATGTTTGGTCTTATAGACATGTGTCCAATACATATAGCCAACAAAATCAAGGTAGAAGGTACTGGCTGATACTTTAATGCATAAATATAATCATTAGTTCCTTTTTGGGTCAATTTGAGAATCGATTAATCTGACGACTGATAACGACTAAACAGTCACTCAAATAATGATGATTGTAGTAGTTGAGTAACCTTAACTCTTCAAATTGTCATTTTTCACTGGATTTTTCTTGGATTTTTGGATTAGTATTAGATATGTTCATACTTATTTGGAGTCTCATTCCCAGGATGATGACAGTGACTTAGAATGTGAGCTGGAAGCACTACCCCCTGTAAATGTGGAATCTGCATCAGAGGCAGCTGCTTGTGTGAAGGTACACGTGTTACCCTAGTTATTGCACATTCTATCTCAATATGTTATGCCTTAGATAGTTTTATAATTATTGTTTGTTAGACTCATCAACAACAAAACAACAACTCGAAGATATGACAAGAATCAGGAGTGTAAATTTCAATAATTTCATTTTGATTGTAGGGGGCTTTATAACTAGACTAACAAAAAGAATTTATTAGATTAATACATGACTGCAAGTTAGCATGCCTTTACTAGATAACTAACTATAAGACTAACAATGTTGTATGGTTCTGAATGGTAGGCAGTGAAATGCCAGCAAGAGCAACAAATAGATGTGGTAAAATGAGAATGGAATGTATATGAGAGGATGGAAGTTAATGTAGGACCTATAAAGAAGATGATAGAAACATGCCAAAGGTGGTTAGATCATGTGAGAAGACCAGTGGAATCTCCATTGAGAAACCTAGAACAAGTTAAATATTGTTTGATTAAAAATTGATAGGTGGACGACCTACAGCATTAGAAGAAATCAATAGATATTTATAAATTTTATTGAAAATTTGATATTTGGTGAATTCATTGATGTTGATTGATCTACGTAGACAATACCATGTAGCAAGGAATAATTGAATTCTGTACCGTTTCATTGATTTCCAAGCGTCATATTTTTTGATATTCAATTTTTACTGAAAATTGTTTATTCACCAGGTAATGATTGCTTCTCGCACACTAAGTGAATCTGCACCTAGTAGCTCAACGATCGAGGCTCCGTTAACAATAAATGTTCCAGTTTGCCATTCATCTAGAACTCTTGTTCAAAGTCCACAAACCTCTAATTTGATGCAAGGTACAAACATTGTTTTTCCGGTCACTGTTCAGAGACAAACATTGCCAACACATCCTGTACCATCAATTGATGGTATAGAAACTAAGGGAATAGTTGGTGGTAATCTAGCCTCCAAAAGAAAGCGAAAAACATGGTCAGAGGAAGAGGACATGCAACTACGAGCTGCTGTTCAGAGATGGGGTGAAGGGAATTGGGCAACCATGGCAAAGGGAGACAACTTTCCTATTAAGAGAAGTCCTACACAATTAGCACAGGTGGTTTTCAAATCGTATAGCTTTATAAAACCATTTTTGTTAGTAATTATGAAAATATTTTCAATTGGTATATAAGACACCAAGATTCATTGTATGTATTATATCATTACATTTGAAAACCATTTTTTTTTAATAAAATCCAAAATAAAAAATAAAAAATTAGTGTTTGATTCTTGGGGTTTTTGGGAGATTTAATATTGTGCTTGTTTGTTGTGATGAGTTCATTACAAGTTCATCCTCTATTGTGGACAATTTTAAATCAATCAATTATGAAACCACGGATATGTTGATTAATAACGAGATCCCACATCGGCTAAAAATATGACCAATATAATCCTTATTGTAAGTTAGTTTTGTGGAGCTGAGTTCTAAGCACAAATTTTAAGATTGTATTAAAACCCATCTTAGATATGTTATTGGACAACTTCTATTTTTCTATGCTCTAGATGTCAATTCCTCTGCAGTTTTGGGTTTGAGGGTGTGTTGAGATTCCACGTTGACTAGATAAATCATATATGGTCAATGTTGTCCCTTTAAGGTGTTTGTATTCCTCACCTTATTAGGTAGTTTTGTAGGAACAAGTTAAGTCCTAAGCTTAAATCCTAATTTAGTATCAAAATCTGTTAAACCCAATATTTGTACACACAATAGATGTCAATTCTCAAGCATAAGGGATGTTGTTATTGGGCCACTTGCGTGTTTCCATATTCTTGATGTCCAATCCTGGATGTGAGAGAATGTGTTGAGATTTCACACCCTTAGAGATATGGTCAATGTAATCCCTTACAAGTCTTGGCAATCCTTATTGGACAAGTATTTTTGGGATCGAGTTAGACCCTAATTCCAAATTCTAAGAATCAATAATTAATGGTGGGAAGTATTATTTGAAGTTAATTATTGATAGGAGGCCATAATCTTTGGTATCCTATTGATAGATTGACTGCTTGATCTGTGGATGCAAAGAATGGTCTTTAGTTAGTTGAAATATGATATTCTTATCTACCATAGCAGATTTATACCCATCAACTTTATTATTGGGAGAGGATAATTTAGCTTGATTATGCAGCTGTTGAAAACTAATCCTTTTTGTTGTACAATACATTGTATGTTAAATGTGTCATCTCTTCCTCCCTTTATTCTAGTTTCTAGAAGGGTAAAGGAAAAAAAGAAGAAGTTCTCGTTATGTTTGATTGTAATACAATACTTATGGCATGAGTCTATTTGTATTCGTTGTCATCTAGTCAGTTAACATGTCTGGTTATCACCAGTTTTCCCAGGTTCATATCCCAACAGTGAATTTTTTCATGTCAAACTCTTTCTAGAATTTGTGATTTTTTTAGTCATAATGGAGGAATCTTTGTATGCTCGTGAATACATATTTTTGTGTACTGATTATTGTGGATATTAATGTCATTTGATATCTGACCCAGTCCATTTCACCTTTTCTGTTATTTACTTTATATTCTACATATCGGCATAGGTTATCCTAAAACTTGCAGAAGTTGACCATTTTACTTTGTATTCATATGATTTAAAAAATGTGCCATTTTACCTCTTTTGTTATTCACTTTTTATATTATTTAATTCTCATGATTATCTACAAATACTTGCAGAGGTGGAGCATTTTACGAAAGAAAGATGGCAGTGTCAATTCTGGAACCATCTCAACCAGCACACAATATACTACTGCCGAACAGCTGGCAACCCGACACTCTTTATCTTTAGCCCTTGATATGCCATTCAAAAAGTTAACTGCTCCTGGCGTGTCCGATCCTGGTAACATTTGGACCATTTTCTATTTTATTTTAATTTATCTTCATATTAATTATATTCCAGGATTTTTTATATTTTTTCATTGATTTCGTTCCTTTTTACCACCTATTTTTGTCACCCCTTTGTTGGATGTGTGAAGCAGGGAGGAAAGAAATAAGAGAAGAGAAAAAATGGGTCAATATTTCAGGTTGTTTGGGTAGAGAATAAGATAAAAATTGACCTCTCTTTCTCCCCTTATTTGGTTGGATAGTAAAGAAAGAAGAAAAAAATTATACTTATGTCAAATGACATTTTCACATTACAATAAATAATACCACAATGAGGGTATTTTTGGTCATTACATCAAACCCTCCCCTCTTCTCACCTTTTTCTTTGTAAAATGGAGCTAGATTATTTCTTTGCAATCTGCACTACATTTTGTTCTATCTCTACATCTCTTCACTTCCAAAGGCGATATTATTTCTTTGCAGGTGTGTTCTGTTCCCAATCCAGTTCTTATTCTCCTAAATCATTGGTTTCTAACAAATTATAAATCCTTAACTACCAATTGAGTCTTGAGGTCTATGATTCTCAAATCAATTTTAGGATGCGCATTGATGATTGTGGACATATTTGGTGCCTAATCAGATGAACATTAGTTAATCATGCTCTTATTGTGGGACAATTAAATTCCCGTTTCATTGTAGTGTGCTTATATATCATTTTTTGCCAGTGTGATTTGTTATTAGTGAGAGAGCTAATTTGTTGGGCTGAGATAGAGAGGAATTAAGGTAGATTGTCTATATATAAGAGGGAAGGTTGAAAGAGAGATTGTTTGGAACCAAGAATTGAAAAGAAAAAGAAAAGAAAGTTTTTATTGAATAGAATGAAAAGAACAAGAAATAGGAGAATACTCTCTTCTCCAAGGGTTTCTCCTTCACAAAAGATTTCTCCTTTCACAAATAGCTAATACTCAATTTACAAAAAAAATGAACTCCCTTCTCTTATCTTTCTTACCCTATTTATATCGAAATAAATAATACCTCAACTAACTGACTAGCTCATTAATATGCTAGCTATATTACTAACTTCTCTTTCCTCTTATACCCTAACGAAGATCATATTGTCATGAGTTAGAATTGGGGCCTATGGGCATCAGGACGTAGAGACCCTCAAAGTTCTGCTAGTTAGGCGTGTAAGGGAGAAATCACTTATTCTTTTCTTTCTAAAATATCAACTAGTATTTTGATCTTGGAGCTGTCGGTACCCGTTTTTGATGATGATTCCAACACTTTTGGAAAAGAGGCCTATTGGTGGTTTGAGTGCATGTGAAGAAAATAAACTATCAATGGCAATAAAAGCACTAAGAGGTCATGTTCTCAACTGGTGCTAACATGGAGATGGCACAATCTGAGGGCAGCCTGGTGGAAATTTGTGAAAGTGCTGTTCGAAAGATTCTAACTGGAGTATGATTCTGATCAACCAGTTGCATGAGAAGACAAGACAAGACTAGAAGCAAGATAGCGAATCTTGGGTTGAAGAAAACATAACAGAAGATGAAGGTTTTGAGAGAACAAGCAAGAAATGAATATAAGAAAGCTACAAGAATTAGGATGAAGTAGAAAGCTGACAAAAACAAGCCCTGAAAAACAAACAAAAATGAAGCTTTTCAGATCAAGGATCGTGGTGGCAGGGATGATGCAGAAGGGTTGTTTGGGGTTGCTAAGAGGATTGGGGCACGTCCTATGGTTGATATGGAAGTGGAAAGCAATGAACATCATGGGAAAACATTCCTTAATGGACCAGAACCGGAAAAAAATCTAGAGATCAAGAATCAGAATCAGGTAGTGGAGAAAGATGCAACATCAAGGAAACAAAAGAAACAGAGAACAATGATAATGGCAAGAACAATATGATTAAAAAAAAATAATCTTGACGATGTCACCTGAAAAATAATCACAAATGACTCTAGTTTGAATAAAACCGCCCCGCTAACATGATTAATAAAAAAACAACATCGAGTCCACAATGTCCTGATCCGGGGCTAAGATATTCCTATTGAAGCTAAACTGTGATGCATCAACCAAGTTGAGAAAAGAGTACGAAGAGCAAAGACGTGTATATATATACGAGAGATGAAGGAATTTGAACTTTTAGGTGGAATTTAAAATTCACTAATTTTAAGTAATCAAATCACTCTCGTAAGCATCTAGAGTTTCAATTTCTTTTAAATTCCCTGCCTAAATAACATTTTGTTATAAAACATTTCAAATATTTTATAAAAACGAATTAATCTTGTAAATTTTCCATTCAAACACATTAGAATTTTTTTTTAGAATATTCAAGGAATATTCTAGGAAGTTCATTTAATGAAAGACTCTAATCCCAATAAATTTAAAATCAAGAGAGTTACGTTATTACAAAGAGGATTTCTATGATCTAAAACTACGCCCTTCAATCTCTTTGCTTTATCCTTTCCATGCTCAAATCTGTAGTTGTCCCTGTTGTATTAAGTTTATTGCTTGCAATTACATGTATCATTCATGAATCTTCTAGTAATTTTATTTATAGTTTATTGTTTTAGTAATGTTATTTCAATCCTATGCAAGACCGTTGAAGAACTTCTTTTTATGGTTGCAGTTAAGACATCCACGTCAGTTAAAACTCAAGTGCAGATTAGAAATACCGCGGAGAAGGTTGCCAGTAGTTTTGTACCACCTCAACAGCCATCTCAGCAAGCTTCTTTGTTGGGATCTTCTGATTCTCATGTAAAACCCAAATTTGTAGATGAAAAGCTAGTTTTGAAGGGAAATATAATTTCAAATCCTGTGCTAAAATCTACCTCAGCTGCTTCTGGGACACGAATTGATTCTCCTTCAAATACTATATCACAGTTTAAAATTGCTCCAGTAAAACACACTTTAGACCCTAAGCCTCCAGTGAGCTCTTTGACAAAACCATCCATTTCTACCAATTTGCCTTCTGACCCAAAGGTTCATTTAAATATAACTTGCGCATCCCTTGCATTGTGCATTAGTTTTACACATGGAAAATTCACTCACTTTGTTTATCTTGTCTCAACAGAACAAACCGGTTCCTCCTTTGGCTGATAAAGTTCAATTGAAGCAGGATGCTAATTCGTCAATAGAGTTTAGAGTTTCTGATCCCGGCTCCACACTGAAAGAGAAGGCACAAGAAAATGAACCTCCTAAAGTTACTATTGGAAGCCAGGTCAATAGCAACTTAGAGAAGGGAAGATTAGATATAGGTCAAGTGAAGATCATGCCTCTTGTTAAAATTAGTGATGGGGAGGATATTTTGAAAGATAAACCAAATCCAGAAGCAGATGAAAAACAAGCAAGTGCTACTATAGCAAATGAAATGAAGTGTGAAGACCAAAGAATTGTCAAGAATGTTACTGAGAATTGCAACCTGGACAAGGGAAGCCTAAATTTAGATCAAGACAAGAAGATAACTTCAACTAATGAAAGTTCAAACAATCAAAACATGACTGACAAAAATGTAAATTTGCCCGTACAGGATGAACGCAGCCAAAGTACCAAGGTGGAAAAACCTGATGGAGAATGTTGAGTGATTAGTTTGTGAAAATGAATAGTTTAAAAAAAAATTGAATTCTAACTTAAAGTTTTGATGAAATGTGATTTATTTTTAGGAATTTGTAGCACATTAGTATATTGTAATATTTTTTTATAAAAATTTTGTTTAGTGGTAAATATATGTTGATGACTTGCATCTTTTAAATTTCTACAAAATATCCTATTTTAATCAGTTAGCTATAGTTTTAATTTTTTAAAGCTTTTCAAATAACAGACTGATGGTATGTACATGTATCCTTCTCAATAAATTTTATAGTTTTTGAGAAATTTCTAAAGCTTTGCAAATCATACTTGCAGTGTTACATTGGAAATAAAAGTTTACCGCTTAACGGAATCTAAACGATTGTACGTATATTTTAAGAGGATGTCAAATTGAAACAACCGATTATATTAAGAAAAATATACTTTAACAACTCAAATCTATTTTAAGAGGATGTTAAATTGAAACAACCGATTATATTAAGAAAAGTGATATTTTTAACGACTCAAATTCATTCATTCATACAATTTTTCTGAATAACTCTCTTTTAATATTATAATAGTAGTTTTAATTTATTTTTATTTTTATTAAATTATTTTATAAAATTATTATATTAATAAAAGTTAGTTATTTAAAGGGTTGTATAATTTTTTGTTATCAAAATATCACCACTCTTATATTAATATAATAATATTATTATTATTGTATTAATATAATTAGTTGTATTCGAGATATTTAGGTTATGAAAAGAGTATTCTCCATATTTTTAAATAGCTGGATTTCTTCCTGGAATACCCGTGGGTAGTTCTTTTTCTTGTAGGTTTATGTAGAGTGTTCGTAAACTTTGCTTAATTTTTAAAAGATCAAGACATTATAATTTTTTTAAAAGAATTATAACTATGATATGTACTTTTTAATGAAGTGAAATGTATATAAAAACAACTATCAGTTATTTTTTAAGAGAATACACTTAGTGATTTGATCACCTTAAGAAGAAATTAACCCAAATTTAATTTACAGGGGTGAATTATTGTAAAAATTTGTTAATATCTGTGAGCATGTAACTTTTTGTGTTTAACTATTCCTGGAGAAAAACATTCAGATACTGTTGTGCGTATAGGCAACCGTCAGTTATAACTCTGAACAAGAAATATGAAGGGGAAGTTCAAAGTTCAATTACAATTTTCGTTTTTACAAGAATATCATCTAAAAGCTCATATAAATAAACCTACTCGTGATAAAAAAATCTCTTCATTATTATGTAAAGGAGGAGATCAAGTTTAATTTAGGTTTATATTTACATATATTCTATAATCACTACTTGAATGCCATAATGTCTTTTTAAGTGTTTGAATCTCCTTGAGTGATCGCAGATTATTGTGAGCACATAAATCATTCGTGTGCTTTTTAAGCCTTTCCATATTTGCTTGAATTGTGTAGTGTTATGCACGACGGAACTCTGTCTGTTTATTGAATACATTTTCTAAGTTTGTTCAAAATAAGGAAAATAGGGAAGTAAGAACAATTGATATTTATGTTGAGACTTATGCTTCACTAAAACAAATTGATCTAGAAAGTAGGAAGGAATATGAAATATTTGTCTAAAGTGAAGGAGCATCATATAATAAATAATATGATTACAAATATAAAAAATCACAATTTATCCCCAAAATAATATTCATTTCAACAACCAAACAATAATTACATTTTATCAGCAAAAAAACAGAAGCACGTTGAGCTCCAGAAGTAACAAACGGAACATCACTTGTTAGTGGAAGAATTAGTTTGAGGCCAAATGCTGATCTTCTCCTTCTCATACTTAACAAAGATAGCACCAACCGCAGCCACAAAATAGACCTGAATCAGAATAATCGCTGGCGTGTGGTAGTTGATAACGCCCTTCCCCGTCGCCAGCTCCACCAGCACCAGTGCCGCCAGGCCGAGAATCGCAATGCGACCGTTCAACCGTTCGCTGTACTGGCTGAACCCTAGTTCCACTTTCACGCCACCGGAAACCGGCTCCTTCAGCGCCACCGGCGGCAGGAAAACACCCGACCCGGACCCGGATCCGGAGCTTCCTTTCTTCGACTTTCGGTTCTTTCGGAGCTCTGCCTTCTTGCCCGTGCCGCTGCGGTACCGGAGGCGGAGCTGGCTGATTCTGCTGTCGAAGTCGTCGTCGGAGGCGTCCGGTTCGGGCTCGGAGGGGTCCGAAGCCGAGGGTGGGGTTTCAGGTTCGGTGGCTCGGAGAATGAAGAGCCTGCGGGGATTGGGCTTGGAAGAGGAAAGTGGGAATGGGAGTGAGAGTTTTACATATGGTGATGCTAACATCGCCATTTTTTCTTCTTTCAGTTCTTTCTCCGAGTTTGTTTCAGATAACTTCTTGTTTTTTATTTATTTTATGTGGTGTATTCTCTCGCTACATTTCTCAACCATAAAACCAATGAATAATATATATTTTAATTATTTTTACCGTAGATTCTGAAATATCGATTTGTTTTGAAAGACATTTTAGGATTTTTTGTATTTAATTTTTAACCACAGGAATATTTTTATTAGATCTATCAATCAGAATTATATGAGATATAATTTTTAAATTAGTTATTTTAACATTAATAATTTTATCATATATCATAATTGATATTATAATCATTTTATCATCCTAAAAAAAAAAAAAATGGTCTGGAAAGGATATACTCTTTTTATAATTTATTAATTAATGTGTTGTCAATGACAATCATTTAATCTTCCAGCAGCTATGGTCTATGCTATTCCTTCAACTCTATTCTTGGAATAGAAGAGTGTTAAACTTAAAATCCATACATCATCGGTGTGTTGTCTTTCCTTGCCTCCAAATCTAAAAGATGCTTTGTCCTTCCTTTATCGGTAATACCAAACATAATTTATATTGAGAGGAAATAAGAAGTAAAATTATGAGTGTATTATATCTCTCTGTTTCAGAAACAATAAAAATGTTAAATAGACAGTAAAATTAAGAAGTATGAATACACAGAAGATTACACATTTTGTAACATGGATGAAAAGATTTTTTTTATTATTATTAAAAAATTGCTTAGTGGGTGAGTTGTTAAAATTAAAAGTCCCACTTTTGTTAAAATTAAGTGTCCTACTTTTGTTAAAATTAACAGTCCCACATCAGTGGGATGTCTTTCTTCACCTTAAATCTCTTCTCTATAGCAGAGTCCCGTGATTCTTTAATTAGGGTAGATGTGATATGAGTTTTGTTAGGGTAGGGCAGGTATGGAGTTTGTGGAGGTTGAGAAATAGTGGTCACCAGAAAAACAGGAAAATTTAAGTTTGAATGTGGATGCACCTAATTAGAAGTAGCCTGTGAATCAAGAAAAGCGTACAACTATTTTTATGAGTAGAGCTCTAAACCGAATATATGCTCATTATGTAAATCTCTAATTATTTTCTAACCCCACATTGTTTTCTAGACACAGGTGTTTTGTCTCTATAGGAATTGATTGATATTTTTACAAATGTTTAAGTGGGAATTGTTATGCGGATGGGTAGGGAGGGAATAAAAGAGTTGTTAATGATTGATAGCAGCAAGCTCAAACTGATTGAAATGTCTGAGGTGAGACAGCAGCCAAGTTGTTGAGCTTGGATGGGTAGGGAGGGAATTGAAGAATTGTCAATGATTGAAATCTCCGAGGTGAGAGAGCAACCAAGGTGTCGAGCTTCTAGCTGCACGTAGACAAAGTGCTATAATACTTACAAAGGAATAGTGGGAGTGTGAGTTACATATTATGAGAGGAAGCACAAAGAGTATACGGGTATTGTTCTGAATTTGAAACTTATGCTGCGGTTCTTGGCTGTGTTTTGGCTTAGAGTACCAGATCCTATAGTTAGTCTCCATTCTGACTTATGCTACTTTTCTACATCAGCTTTCTTATTTTTATGTAGACTCATGGATGGGAAGGTTCCTAGTTCTGTTTTCTTTCTCCTTCTGTTTGGCAACTGATGTCTTCTGTAATAGGATTCGAGTAGCCCATGTACCTGGATTTCATTAATATTTTCTATCTTCCTTTGTTGACGAAAAAAATACATAAAAGCTTTATATCTCAAGATGTTTGTAAAAAACTAATCATAAAAGGAAAAACTTAAAAATCATGATGAGAGACTAACTATACAGAAAGTGGAGGTGCCCAAATACTTGAATAGAAGAAGATGAAATTTGGTCTATTCAGGGGCACCATCAGTTGCTAGATGGCTGTTTTGTCTCTGTTCTGTTGGATGCTCACATGTAGTGACCTGTTGCCTTTGTTTCTTTAACTTCATTCCAAACAGAAAAGACTTCAAGGGCATCTTACGATTTGTGGATTGTTTTGTAATTTGATCTTGATTGTTAGCCCCCATTTCTTGACTCAGTTCTTCTAGCATCTCCTCAACTTGATCTTGCAATCCCTTCACAATAATGATACCTGCTTGCAGTTCACTACAAACCTTGTGGTTCTCCTGCTTCATGTTGAAAACCGCACCTTGAAACTTTGCAGCCTGATACCCACTTAGTTCTGCCATATTTGATGCACCATTTGGATTGGCTGCTCTTGCTATTTCATCTTGTAAGGTGCACAATGAAGGGTGCCTACCTTTTAACTCTTCATGCAACACTTCACTGTGTTCCAGCCATAAGGATAACTCACTTCTTATCTCTCTCAGGTGTCTAATTATGGGCTTTATTTCAGATTGCATGGAATTTAAGTTCTCTTGGGACATACTGCTGTTCCTTATGTTTCTAAGCTCACATTTCAAGTCCTGTATGGAGTTTTGGAACTTCTGTGTCTGATGCACTGAGGTGCTGAACCTCAACCAGAACTCCAAGTTCTCCTCTAGCAAACGATCAATGGCTGAACGAAATTTCTTCTCCAAGGTTGAAAGTGAATGACTCTTATGATACTGGTTTGGTCTCACCTTCACTAGTATGCCAAACTTTGCCTTTTTCTCAACATTTTGTTGGTGTTGATCTCTGTAAGAAGTACCAACTGCACCTGCATCTGTGTTTGAAGATGGATTTTTAGGGTCTTGTGTGGCAGTTTTTTGAGGTGCAATTCCAAGAAGTGCTTCTTGTGGTTTGTAGTTATAATCTGTTAAAGTGGTGCGAGGACTTTCTTCAGGATTTGCTTCTGAAGAGGTCAGCTTCTGCTGTAAAATGGTTATCTCTTTTTCCTTAGTTTCAACTGTATCCTTCAATTCTTTTACCTGCAAGTAGATATACATTCTCAGGATTGGAGGTATTATAGTACCTTACTATATGCAATTAACGCATAAATTGCACCTATTCTTTTAACATGGTAATACACAATTTCAGAGTAATTATAATTAGTTTATAATTAAAATTCTGTAATGAAAATTAGTGCAAGCTTTTTTGGTTCCTTCACTTGGACAAGATTAAGGCCATTGGACAAATGCTAACATTTATTCTTTGGAAAGCAGTTGCTGCTACTCATTGAAAAAAAAATATTAAATGAAAAGTAATGTTTTTAGAGTCCTAATGTATTAAATGTTGTAATTCTAATTTTATATATATATATATATATATATATATATATATATATATTAATAAAGTTGCATTAAGCTATAAGTAGGACCAATAAAATTGTACAAAGTCTAACCAGATTTTTGTTTATGAAATTATATTGCAAATATAAGTTTTCTGCGTGATGATTACTTATTACCATATATCAATTTTGTTAAAAATGTATCCGATTTTAATTTGGCTATACATTGTTAACATTGAAGTTCATTATAAACTCAAATATTTACCTAACCATTCATTAATTTTATTAACTATATATATATATATATATATATATAGAGAGAGAGAGAGAGAGAGAGAGAGAGAGAGAGGCTGATGTTTACCTGAAGTGCCAACTCGAAAATGCTATCCCGGTTTTTCTTCTCAACATCATTGAGCTTGCCCTTTACATCCTCGTAGTTCTTTAAAACTGAATTGAATTCTGTCAGAATGGTTTCTCTGTCATCTAATCCACTTGCAAACATCTGACTCCAGTTCGGTTCATCTTTCTCAATAGTCCCCTGATCAAGTGATTCAGTGTCAAGATTACTCTTTGACTCAGACAAATCATCCTTATTCTGCAGCATTAGCTCTGGAATCTTTTCAGTCATTAAATCAATATTTTCATTCAAATTGTACTTGTTATCTTCATTTTTAACATCACCAAAATTCACACTATAATCTTCCTTTTCCTCCATTGTTGTCTTAACATCCTTCATGGTTTCTGTGTTATTACCTGGTTTTTCAGACTCCTTTTTTAGTTCTCCATCTGGTGCACTTCGGTTTTCGTAAAGTAGCAAGTCCTCTCCCTCCTCAACTAGCTTCACATCATTCATTTTTCCTGAAAGATGTTCAAGATCGCAACTAGCCTCAATAACTAGTGTTCGGAGGCTGTTCTCTTGCCTTTTGACTCTTTGATTGAGAATTTTAACTCTCCTCAACTCCTCTTCCACTTCCTCCAGCTTCTTTTTGGTTTGGTGTGAATCTTTTATCAGCACTTCCTTCTCCTCTTCCAAGCTAAGTATACTTTTTTGAAGTACATCTGCTTCTGATCTCAGTGTCTTTACCAAGCCAGTCTGAGAAGAGACCGCAGTTTCCAGGGTAACAACCTTATCTACAAGCTCATCAATCTTCTCCGCCATTTCGTCCATAGTGAGGGGACTACCTGAATCTTTGTCAAGCTTTTCATTAATCATGTCTAGCAACAGCTCCACTTCACCCTCATGTATTTCTTCTTCCAAGCTAAACAGATCTTCTTCTATGCTTTTTGGTTCTGCTCCTTTGTCTTGTTGACTCTTATGCTTAGAAATGTATTGGTTTCTAAGGGTTTTAAGCTTGCCCTGAGCTTCCTTAACCATTTCGTATGATTCTTTAGCCTCTTCAGATGATTGTGCCTGTACCTCTTGCAACTTAACCAGGGTTTCTTTGCATGCATTTAGAGCAGTTGCTTCCATCAAAGCTCGTGCATCATTATCTTCTATGATATTACTAATGTCAAACTCATCTTCCAATCTGCAAACTCTTTTCTGCATTTCTGTAATCTTGTCTTCAATTTCCCAATACTTTTCATAGGAATGCTCATACGAGCTCCTTACAAATTCTTTCTCAGTCTGTAGTGCCAATATTTCTTTCTGAAGCCTGTCAACTTCTGCGAGTGCTTCAGCCTTAGTCAGACCCGATCTAGGACTAGTGGGAGGGGACTTTGCAGAGCTAGCAGTCCTCCTAACTGGACCCTTCCTAGACACAATCATGGAACGGCTTCTAAAATTTTTTGGGATATTTGGAGCTTTAGGAATGCCTTCTTTTGGTGTTTGATTGTTGGGGTCTAGAGATGATGACTTTGTTTCATGGAAACTTTCTTCACCATCATCGTCATCTGTTCTATATTGGACTTGTTCTGGGAAAATACTGGCAATAGTGCGGTTGGCACTTTGGAGTTCCTTTGATAGATGGTCATATCTCTCTGCCAATGCTCTGTACGCTCGAAAGACTTCTTCCATATAAACTATTAGCTGTGGCCTTTTCCTGTAGTACATTTCTGCCCTTTGGGAAAATGAATCTCCTTCATTATGAATGATTTTGAGGGTTTCAGCCACCACATCCTCCATATCTGTTGAATTTTTGTTTGCATATTGGCAAAGTTATTATTCCAACCCAAAGTTATTATTACAAAGTTATGCTATAAGAAAAGTGGGTTGAGTTGTGAAACAAATGAAACCAACCAATAGAACTGCAATATTTCTGCTTCTTTTTTCTTCATGCCATCAATGTACATATGATTCCGACAATTGTAATATGTTATCTTTTTTATTTTCCCATTAAAATCATTTTGCTTTACTTTTCTAAGCTTCTCAGAAAATGGTTAACATATAAAAAGGGGCAAGTGTATAATGTGAAAAGAAATGCATCATGTTTAAGCAAGCAGACAGGCTTGCCTGCCATCTCAAATCGATAAATCTTCATCATTTTCTTAGCGTTTGTGAAATCAATAGATATGAAAATGTGAATCATTCTAAAATTGCCTTTGAATTTGAGACCTTCTATTTTGTTGAACATAAAGATAATGTGTTTTGATGAATTAATGATAGATAATATAAAATTAAGAGATAGAAGCACGAAGCTATACAATACCGAGAGATACATACCTTGGAGACTTTGTTCTAGCCATTTGGATTGTTTTGTCCTGATGTGGCTCGCCCACCACCATGAATATGCATTGGTTGCTGCCCTTCGCAACATTTTTATTGTGTAACAATCAAACACATTCAACCCATTGAGGTAACACCTTGATGTTGAAGATAAATGAAACCAATAAGGTGGTTAAAGAAATTTGGGTAAAAGAGAAGCAAGACATGAAGAGGAGGATACTTCTCCACAATCATTGGTGTCTAATGTATTGGATCCTTTGAACATCAAAATGTTTGGAGGGCTTTGTTATAATATTTTCTCCACTCACTGTGCTTAAAGTGCATTAATCTTTTAGGGAGAAAAATATAATATAATTAAAGTATTTTTCGTAAGAATGAATTCTAAGTTTTTTATCCCTAAGACATTTTATACGAAGCATCTACTAATTTTGTTAATAAACTATTTTTTTTATCAAGAATTAAAAACTTAATTGACAACATTTAACATTTTTTTTCTTAGTCACTTTTTTGGTTTACTAATAATTTGACCAATAATATATTGGTTAATAATAAAGACAATTCCATTGGATCACATTATACTCGAATCATAATCAAATTGTATAAACATTTTCCATGCCATTGATTTCTGTTCTATTCCTTACGTCACTAAATAGTTTTTGAATGTGGTAAATTTCTTTTGATGAGATCCTAATTGTTCACATTCAAAAACATGATTTAAAACTGCAGGTTGTTCGTTTTTTAAATTCTAGTAAACACATGAAAAAAATTCAAATTCCAGACGTTTGTCTGTATGTTTAACACAAAAGTTTCATTTGGTTCTTAATCTTACATGAAAAAATTAAATTGATCTTTAATCATTATTATAACACATTATTTTAGTTTCTTTTAGCTAAAAAATATAAATACCAATGTTTTATCGTCATAAATTTAAAAGAAAAATACTTATTTTGTTAAGTTTGAGAATTAATTAATTAATTTTTAAGTTTGATCATTAATTAATTTTTAAAATACAGAAAATCATTTTGGAAAGAAAACAAGTTAACTAAGAAAACGTATTAAAAGTTAACTAAGTCAAATTGATGGATCGTTTGCTTTTAAGTTTAACTACTTTTGGTAGGGACCAATGAATAATATGGAAGAGTAAAGAGGCTTCAATGACAACACTGGTAAAGAAACACACATATACACGTTGCATATATAACGAAGCCCACTGAGGGAGAAAGTGTTGCAGCTGCAAAACCCTGAAATCTAAAGTCAGCAATGGTTTCCACAGCCACGCTGTGTTCGAGCTTCATTTCAGGACCTTCATCCTCCTCCCGCTACTCTCTCTCTGCGACTCCATCCTACTGTGCATTTCCTCCTCGCAGGATCACCACGCCAAGAATGGGATCATCTCCGACCCAGGCCCAGGCCCATGCCCAAGCCCACTTAAAGGAGGCCAAGCTCTGGGGCGGCAGGTTCAAGGAGGGCGTAACCGACGCCGTGGAGAGGTTCACGGAGTCGATCTCCTTCGACAAACAGCTCTACAAGCAAGACATAATGGGAAGCAGAGCGCATGCGTCAATGCTCGCTCACCAGGTCAGTCACAAAATCATTCACTCTTCGAATTCAACGCTCGCCGAAACACTCACTGTTTTTTGTTTAGGGGTTGATAAGCGCGAGCGACAGAGACTCCATTCTGGAAGGTTTGGATGAAATAGAGAGGCGCATTGAGAGTGGAGAGTTCAATTGGAGAGCTGACAGAGAGGACGTGCACATGAACATCGAGGCTGCGCTTACTGACATAATCGGTGAGCCTGCGAAGAAGCTCCACACCGCTCGGAGTAGAAACGATCAGGTATTGACTGATTTTCGCCTCTGGTGTCGCGACGCCATCGACGGGATCCTCGTGAGCATGAAGCAGCTTCAGGTGTCGCTGCTGACCCTGGCTTTGAGGAACGAGGGTCTAATTGTTCCTGGTTACACTCACTTGCAGCGCGCACAGCCGGTTTTGCTGCAGCATCTTCTCTTGGCTTATGTTGAGGAGGTTTGATCGTAATTTGGGCCTTGTTTGTGTACTGCTTTGGAAAAATGGTTTCTATTTCCTAAAATTTGTTTGTCCATTGATCAAGTTTGAACATTTGAAGGTGTTTGTATACTGAGCACTTCAATAGAAGAGGAGCAGAGCAAATAGTGGAAGAAACATCTCCTGGCTGTTTCCTTTTTTTTTAGTACTTGTTTTGGAAATGGTTTCAAGACTTGGTAGATTTTAGATGAGAAATTGATGTTGAGTAGTTTGGATTTGTTTTAGAAAACAGTGTTTATGTGTCTCACCAACTTTAAAATATCTCATGTCAATAATAGGAGAGAAGAGGGGTTCAACAACTGAATAGTGTTAAACTTGTTTTTTGAATTTGGATTGCCAGCCATCAGGCTTTTATCTTCTAGTCATACATTGTGGGAAAATTCATTTGACATTGTTGTTGTGGTTAAAATGTTTGTATTATCCAATTTATTCATTCATTTAATTAAGGAGATGAACTGAATTTTGGAAATAGTTTTAGCACTCATCTGTTTTATTGACTGTAGACATTATTTATTATGCAGATTGAGCGTGATGCTGGGCGTTTGGTAGATTGTAGAGCTAGGATGAATTTCTGCCCCTTAGGGGCTTGTGCCTTGGCTGGTACAGGGCTTCCCATTGATCGATTCATGACTTCAGAAGCTTTGGGATTTACGGCTCCCTTGAGGAATAGGTATTCAGTTCATTTTATTCTGTGAAATCAATCTATGTATTTATGCCTGCCATGTGATTGATGTCAAGTTTTTACTTGCTATGCTAACTGATTTTAAGTTATGTCAAATAGTATAGATGCAGTTTCCGACCGAGATTTTGTACTGGAGTTTCTTTCTGCTAATGCCATCACAGCTGTGCATCTTTCTCGGCTTGGTGAAGAGTGGGTATTGTGGGCTTCGGAGGAATTTGGATTTATCACACCAAGCGACTCTGTTTCAACTGGAAGTAGTATCATGCCTCAGAAAAAGAATCCAGATCCAATGGAACTTGTTCGAGGGAAGTCTGCTAGAGTCATAGGGGATCTGGTTACACTTCTCACATTGTGCAAAGGTCTTCCTCATGCTTACAACCGTGATTTGCAGGTAGCTCTGAAGAGTAAAAAGAAAGTTTGACTTTTCTTGAATTGCATATTTTCTTTCATGGTGTGGTTTTGAATTCATTTGTTTTATTTCTGCATTATTTTGTCTGAGATTCACTAAAAAGTGTTCCTTTCTGGAAGTAGGAAGACAAAGAACCAGTATTTGACAGCGTTAAAACTATCTTGGGTATGCTCGAGGTATCAGCAGAATTTGCTCTAAACATTACTTTCAATCAGGAAAGAATACAAAAGGCATTACCTGCTGGTCATCTTGATGCAACCACACTTGCTGATTATCTTGTGAATAAGGTCAGTCCCATTCACTGGTTTGCTTCTATGTGTACACCATCGGTTTGCAATAAAATTTGTCTGACTGTAAGCATGATAATCCATCTGGTGGAATATATATATAAATAGCAATCTGGACGTCACTGCCCGAGTTTGGGTTTGAACTCATCTCAATTCCCCCTCCAAGTAGCCCTGTGCTTCAACTGAAAACCAAATCAAGCCATTCCCGAAAATCCAATTGAATGAAGGAACTAAATGTTTACAGAACTTGTCATGTTTCAAACGCTAATGCAGTAAACTACTTTGTGAAATGCTTTTCATGTCTTTGGTATGTGCTCCTATTACCGCCCTATCCAGTTTTCAGTATTTGACAATTCCTTAAAGACTAATGTTTAGTTTGGATACCAAGAGTAATACCTGTCACACTTAGTATAATCTAGTAACTCAATGTGACAGGATGATCCCATTAGGATACGTCTATCTATTGGCTAGAGGGCTGGAATTATCATCAACTTTTCAACACCTAATACCTTATGTGATTATAAACTATCACTAGAACTTGGGTATCACACATTAGATCTATGACTAAACACATACATCAAACATCATCTATATCATCTCATAGTAGTGTCTCCTTGGTAACTTTTATTTCACATAACACCACAATCCACACGCCATTGTACTCATCACATGACATTTCTTACTCCCATCATCAACATACATTTAATCATGATTTTTATTCTTAAAATTTCACATAATACAAGGGTGCACGCATAGAATAAAGTTTTAGATACCTAAACACATAGCTAAACAGGGAAACATCACTTGAACGAATGAGCAACAATCTCCAATAGTTCCATTTTGTCTTAGGTTGACTTTCACTTCAGCTAAAAGTTCTAATGCTACGAAAGCTACAAGAATTAAGTCTTGACTCTCGATCACATTTTTGTTTGAGCGAAGTCGCATAAGCAAAAATCTTTCGGCCTTGGCTCGTGATTTTGCTTGAGCAATCTACCATGGTTTTTGAGCAGATTATGCAGAAACTACAATTTTTCAGAAGAGAAACAAGTTTATCTAAATCATTTTTAATCCCTCTCAACACTTTTCTTAAATTTTTCACCAAAACATGATTTAATTTAGCCAACTTGATTACTTTTCTCTAAAATTCTTGACACAAATATTTCCACAATAGCATTCTCCGAATGAATCACATTACACTAAAAATCATTTAGGATTTCAAAACATCAAATAATTTCAATACTATACTTCAATTACAAATCTTGTAAATCAAACATTGTAACCAAGTCACATCCAAATCATCTATCCTAAGGAATTGAAAACTAACTTCCCTTATCTCTTTAAATTTGATCTTCCATACCTAAGTTCAAGAAGTCACAAATCTCACAAGAAATCTAATTCTGCTAAAAAAGATTTTAATCAACAAACTAAGCATATCACTATAATCTTAGACAAGTAAAGATTCATTTTTACCCACGTAGAGCCACTTGTAAAAACATTTCCCCGCACATGCAAACCATTCTACGTACATGCAACCCAAAAAAATGGGCATAGAGAAGCATTCTCTAAATGTGATTCTGATCAAATGAAAACGGCCTACTCACTACCAGCTGCACTAGTGTGGGTTCAGATCTCCAAAAAGAACAGATCTCTCCAGAAGGTAGAGACGAGGCAAAAATATGTTTTAGAGATGTGTAGCTTTTATAAAATGATGTTTTAATAGTTAAGATTTTTACATTTATAAGTTTTTTAACTTAACAAATAAAATTTTTATTCATCATCTCATTTACCCACCTCTACAATTGTGCATCTCAGATAGCTTTTAAACTGTTTCGAGTGTCCTTGTGCATCTCTACCATTGCTGCTAGCTTTTATGTTCCAACTGTATCATTCTTTCTCTTCTTCTACCTACAGTTTCTAGTTTTTTAATTACGTTTTATCTTTTCTCCTTTATTATTTGTGCTATTTTGTCTCATTCTTTTTTCTTCTTTCACATTTCAGGGTGTGCCATTTAGAACGTCTCATGATATTGCTGGAAAATCTGTTGCTTTATGTACATTGAAGAATTGCCAACTGCTGGACTTAAGTCTTGATGAGCTGCGAAGTATAAATCCAGTATTTGAAGAGGACGTGTATGATTTTCTTGGAGTAGAAAATGCGATCCAGAAATTTGTGTCTTACGGCTCCACTGGGTCAGCATGTGTTGCCAGCCAAATTGACTATTGGATGAAAAAACTTGAAATGAAGTGAATACTACCCTGATTGTCGTGAAATTAATCATCGTGCTAGGGAAGCCAATTCCTAAGACTTGGAATAATAACTCACTGGCATGCCAAAGATCCTGCAACACGTAATTCTGGAATCCACCAACATGATACCTTTGAGTATTTGAAGTGTGAAAGCATTATTAGGTGTTATATGCAAATTAGTTAGGGTTACGGAATAGGTAGTTTCAGAATCAGATGTGCCATGCCTTCTAAATATGAGCTTGTATTTTACTTTAACACCATATGAATTTTGGGTTGTTTTTAATGATATAAAGTCATCTGTAGTCACATGTATAGCATCATTATCAAATACACATGAATTTTTAGAAGGTAGCAATCAACCCTTCGTAATTCGATCTACCCTTTCCATTGTTTACTCACTCCTAACCCACATTTATTATATTTAGATAATAATGAATAAATAAAATAGCCGTGACAGTAATTAATGCAAATTATATTAATTTTAATGATTAAATTAAAAAAATGTTTTAAAGCTAAACAATAATTTTTACTTCACTTTGTTTTCAATTATTTCTTTCCAAACAATCGATAATTTTTCATATTATTTTTTATTAGCTCTTATTTATCTTTTTACATATATTTATTTTCTTCCCTCCATTTCCCTTCTCCCAGTGAAACATAATATTAATGTTAGCAAATAACCTTTCATGTAACATGATCAAAGCCTATAAAAAAAATATGAATAAAGTTAATTAAGAAATCAACTAACAGTTGAATAGTAAGCCAAAATTAGGTACCTTTAACACTATTATCGAAGTTTTTTTATCATTACACTCGCGGTTTCATGCAATAGAAGCAAACAATGAAATGCCCCGTATTTCAAAATATAAGGACTACAGAAAAAAGACGCGTAACTGTAAATGACTCCGTTAATTTTAATTTTCATGATGAGATCTCTTACGAAACCACGTTATGGAGTTAATGAGATCTCTTACGAAACCACGTTATGAAGTTAATGAGATCCAGATTAACAACCTAACCGCACTCGACGATTCAGCATTGGCATGAATTTTTAACGCTCAGGACGAACAAAAGAGAACTTGCAGCTCCTAACAGTCTTCTTTCCCGACAACAGATTTGGCTTGTCGGGGTGGATTTCTTAAACGACGAAATGCAGGTGCCTCACTAATGGATGTGGCCAATTCATTTGACAGGCCAGATTTATTCTCTGTATCTGGTTTTGCCATCTTGTCAAACCTAGTTGGGTCATTTTCCCGCGTTTCAATTTTGTATGTTTCAGTACCGCTGCTATTTTCTGGAGTGGAAGACATTGGATCCTTGGTAACCAGCTCAATTACTGGTTTTCGCGCTTTCTTTTTCTTTCCTTGCCTTTGATTATCCAATCTCACCTGCGATCACATTGTCCCATGGATTTAGTAAGCAAGTTGGAAAACTGTTACACACCACATAACAGGATTGTGTGGGAATAAATGTAAAATGCGAAAACTTGAGACAGGTCATTAAATTAAGTATTAAATGCAACAAGAGCTTTAGAATGTAGAATACCATTGAGTTCTGAATGTCACGTAATGGCTTCTTTATGGGCACTGGGTTGTCCTTGCAACTAGCAGGTTTTTGAACAAGTGCACTCTGAAGTAGTTTAGCACATTCAGAAGCAGTCACACTTCCATCATTGTCCACAGGACATTCTGTGTTATCTGATTTTAGTTGTTCATTTCCTGCTAATTGGTTTGATTCCCTATTTGTGCACTTGAAACGTGTGCAGCCACATGATGCTCCACAGTTCCCACCGCTGGATCGGCATTTGCATTTGTTAGTCTTGCACAATGACTTCTTACTGCATGAGCAACAAAGCTCTTCAGCTGTTCTTTCCGTCTTAACACTATATTCACTTGTACTGCTCATTTCAGGTGTATCCATTTTTATCTTGTCATCAGTCTCTTCATAGAGAAGAGATAGAACCAGGTCCCCCTGATTAGATGTTGATACAGAGTAAGAAATTAACAATGTATTTATTCATTTAAAAAAAAAATATCTAAATTAAATTGTTTGTTTTAACTTCGCAACATGTTATTCCCAGTACAGTTCTAATTTGATGTCAATGACTCAACCTGCTTCTTATCCTTGACGTCAAGCTTCTCCTTCCGCGATTGTAATTCTTTAAGTAGACAACCAAGGCTGCTCATTTGCTCTTTCAAATCTTGGATGTCATGAACTTTCTCCAGGCTGTCACACTCTTCCTCCTGTAATGGAGACCTTGGAATAACCAAAAATTGAAACAAAATAATAAATTAGTAAGGGGACTATATGGTGTACTCAAAGCTGGTAGAATTCAAGTCTTCAACATTGCAAAAGAAAATCGAGTAACGGTTTTCACCCTAATTTTTCCTGCCTAAGCATCTCAATTTCTTCCTTCAGCTGTGCAATCTCTCCAGCCATCCTGACAATGCCATATTATTGTTAGAATAGGAGCAGCTCTATATACGCATTTCACAGATATCAGACTGACAAGAATACTTTTGCAAGCAAACTATGGTGCAACATAACCAAATTATATAATTTTTTTAACATCATTCCGAAATCCTTATATATTGAATGCTCTAGACAAAAGAAGCTATTCAGTTCGATACTGTTCATGCATATGCTAATAAAACACCCAGTAAATACTGGCATACTCAGAAAAATGAGACATGAAAATGATTGTTTCACAAATCATATAATCAGAAAACTTAAGACACGATTGATGCATCATTATCTGGCTGACTAAAAATAGGAAGTAGCAGCATAGAATTGGGAACTTCTATTGATGTATGTTCCTCCCTAAACCTGAAATCACAAGGATTCGATGTTGTAAAAATGAACTAAAAGATGGGTATAACGTGGATCCCTAATATTTTTTACATTTCAAACCAAAATATATGCTAACATCAGTGTCATATATTCCAGGCGTGTAAAATCTGAAAAACTTGTGCTAGCTTTCATATATTAAACAACTTTTTTCACTACTCAACTTCTGAAAGCGACTGTTGCTCACTGTTGTTGTCAAGTAAACATTCCTACCATACAAAACATGTATTATAGCAAAAGAAACATACATAAATACACACGCCATTACTAAATATAAACAAATACAAGTAAGCAAAGTTAATATAATATGAAATGAACAACAGAGTGTATAACATTGGAAAGACCAATGAAAAATTGCATAAGCATAAGACTAAAGAGCAGAGAGAAATGACATCGGACTTACTTTTCCACTTTGGATTCATATTGTGAACATAACTTGTGTAACTTTGTTGAGACATCAAGTTTTTCTTTGGCATCCTACATCGGCCACATTTTGGTGATATTTTAGTAAGTTAACTTGTAAATTAGGTCACTGCTACAAAACAGTAATCAAACCCATTCAATATAAATTTTCAAAGGAAGAAACCACCGATTAAGTTCAAACAATACTAAAATAACATTCTGCAGTAGATCATAAATGGTACAAATTTACAGCTTCAAATCTATACTAAAAATATGAAGAACATAGAGGATGGACGAAAATATTATTGGATAAAATCATCAAAACAGGTCATGACCTTAAAGGATCTTGTTATGAGAAAGATTCAGCCTAAGGAAATGCGTAGGAGGTAAAATGTGTCACAATTCAGCACAACATATGAATCATGTAGCACTCAGTCAAGTACAGATATCATAGAAAAGGATCCACAAACAAGTTTCCGGAAAACTAATCATGGGGGTCCTGTTGTAATGATCTATGAGCAAAATTCAGCCAAAGTTGCAAGGAAATAAGTAGGAGGTAAAACATGCCATCACTTAGCAAAACTTGTGAACCTTACAGCACTCATAAACAGATCCTAGAAACGGACCTATGAACAAGTCTCAGGAAAACTATTTAAGTGCCTATCAAATTTAAATAAAACCAAATTCTAAAACATTTAATCTCCAATTAACCAAGATTTTTCAATTGATTAAAAATTACCTGAATTAGTTCACCATTTCTACTTCTAGCACCTACATGAAAACCGGTAATCAATTAGGCAACAAATGCAGTGATGGCAACACAAATGAAATAAAGATTCAAACGAAGCACGTATTTGGGTCTTCTAACCAGTTGATCTGTGTGAAATAGCTTTTCGAGTTGCTATGAAGTCTTTTAGAAGTTTAGTGGCAGCAGAAGCTTCCTGTGTCTTCCGTTGTAATACCTGATGCAAAGAAATGGAGAGGCAAGTGGTAATCGTGAAAAAAACAGTAGGCAGATAGCAAAAACTAAAAGAAACAAAAGGATATAAAAGCACTGAGGATAATTCAACGAACCAACCATTTTAAGCCTTTCATTTGAATCCAGCAAGCTTTGGGTCTTGATTCCATTCCTCCTTCCCTCTTTCTTAAGCTAACGATACATGAACAAATATTTCATAAGATAAAAATGCTGACAGGATGGAGATACTAAATACAATAGCTAGGTCTGTGAGCATCAATTGCTATGTTAAATTAAATACCCAATCAGTCTTCCACATAAAAGAAAAACAACTATTTTTTCTCAATGAAATCGTAAATCATTTAAAATTTTGGACGGAAGAGAATGTAACTGAAATCTGAATACATACCTGAAGAATCTCTTTTTCAAATAGAGCCTTGCATAATCTAAATTGAACAGACTCTAACTTTATTTTACATTGCAGTTGAACCTGTACGTAAACACAAGTTAATTTGATACTCAAAGCAAAAGCAGCACTACAGAAAGTATTCATCCACTCATAAATGTCACCTTTTGAGCCTTCAAACCTTGAATCTCAAATTGTAACTGCTTAGTTGATTCATCGACTTTTTTCTTTTGAGTTGAAAACTGGGATCGAGTTCCCAATTTCATCTTCAATTCCGTAACCTGAAACATGATATTGAAACGAACCACAAATCACGGCCTCCTCAACAAAAACAAGTTCATTCAACTACACACAAACAAATAAAAAGTTACCTGATCTTCAAGCAAGTTCAGCTTCTGAAGATACTCCTTCTTAAGCTTTTCAACCTCATTCTTCGAAGTTGACAAATCACTCCCCTGTTGTTGCTGCCTTAGTTCAGCAATCTCAATCTGGAAATAATACAGCACGCGAAGTGAGCAACAGTAACTTCCTCTCAACATCAAAGCAGACAGCAATAATAACTCATTCAAATACCTGATTCATTAAAATCTTCTCAGATCAACAACATACTCAATCACTAAAAAATTAGTCTAAATAAATTGAATAATTAACTTCCTAAACATAAAATATTTCAAAATTAGAGAAACGCTGTTCATTACAGCGATAGAAGATTCAATTTCAAAATTCAGATCCATAAACGTATTCCAATAAAAACGCTAATAATGTTATTCTAAACTAACAAATTTCTGTTTTACTCGGATACAAACTCAAACACTAGTAATAAGAACAAACATCTGTTAAATCAGATTAAACGAACCTGATAAGCTTTATTTTCTGTCTCCAGTTTGTGAATCATCTCTTCGTATATTTGCTTTTCGTTATGTTCCGAAGATGAGACATGGAATGGACTCGTTTGCTTGGATCGGCGACCTGTCCTCTTCATTATACTCTTTCAAGGTCGAAGGAAGTAAACACAGAAGAGAGAAAAAACGGAGAGCGAGAAAACAAAAAAAATGAAAAAATGGAGGTAGTGCAGTGGCCAAATTAAACCCCAAATTTTTCAATGGAATCAAACATACATCCGCAATCCGAACGTTACTATCTAACGCGACCAAGTAAACAGCCAATTGGCATGTGCCACGTAAGGAAGGCAATTAAAGCTTTCCAGAGGGAAATCAAAAATTCAAATTTTCTTGTCCAAATATTATTAGGTTAATTCTACTTTGTAGAATTTTAATTTATTTTTCTTCTAAATTTGGTCTGTTAACTTTTTGAAATAGTAAATTTAATATTTTAAATTCCTAAAACAGTTTACAATAACTTTTCTATCAATTTATTATTAAAATATGACAATATTTTTAACCTTAGGTTATATGAAAAATTTATGTGGGACTGATCCCAGTCATATTTTAAATTAGTGTGTTATTTAGATCGGTCATTGGTGTGGTCTATTTTGAAAATAATTTTAAATTAGAAATAAAATATACTTTTAAAATTTTAAATTATATAAATAAAACTAATTTAATTTTTCTATTATGATTTAATATAAAAATTATAATATGTACATGTTTTAAATAATATTATTTTAATTATAAAAAAAATATAATTATTATTTTATGTATGATTGATCCATGAGTTTAAAATTCAATTTAAAAATAACTCAACTGAATTTAAATTTTATATATATATATATATATATGTATGTATGTATATGTATATATATATATATATATATATATATATATATATATATATATATATATATGTATGTATGTATATGTATGTATGTATATTATTGAGATAGAACATGAGCCAGGCCCATTTTCACATTGTTGGGTGGCTCTTTATCTTCTTTGTCCATAACCATCTCCTCCATTGTGGTCTTCCTTTCTTCTGCTTCTGCACCGTAAGTTTCAACTAACCAACAATCATGGTGACAAAATGTTCCTTCCACTGGAGAAGGTTAACAAAAAAACATTGAAGGTTTATATCAATGTAAATATTTTTAGTTAATAGATTATTTAAATTGAAATGTTCACCATGTGGAAGTTGGACATTGTTCAAAATTCCAATTTAAGTTTGGGAACAATCTTTTGTAATCCCCCTACCCTAACTTAATACACAGTAGTACTTTGATGTAAAATTCAAAGCCCACTGCTCCAAATACAAACCCACTGCCACTGAAATTTGTCACATTTTCTGAACTTTCGTTTTCATCTAGGATAGAGAGAGGTCTTGGAGAGACAGGAGTGTCAATAAAAGAGAAAACAACAGCTTAAACAAACAAACACTTAGTCATTCTTCAAAGTACCATAGAGCTTTGGGCCACTGCAACCCTATGGAGAAGTTTGCCAGTGATAAATATTTTTTTATGCAACATAGGTAAAATTATCATAATCCCTCTACTGAAGGATGTGGCTGTAATTTGACACCCTACACATGATTTGAAAAAAAAATTAAACTTCCACATTTATTAACTAACGTCAATGTGGGAGTGCTTTCCGGCAGATGTGTTTGTATCAATTATTGGATTTAAAACTTAAAATGCAATTTCGATTTCCTCCACTCTCCAGGCAAAAGAAAGTACTCTATAGAAGATGATGCTAACAAGACTTTTGAACAGCCAGCCATAGTGCATCCATGATGACCAATTCTGATTATGAGGAAGAGGATGTAATTTCCATGAGTTATGTTGTAAATAAATCTATGTAAGATAGTGGCTACTTTAATAACGAGATGAGTTATTGAATTTGAAGCAAGTTTTATGCACTTAACACTTCGTCATAACTTTTTGTGCATGGATTGTGTGCAGCCCCAGAGAAGAGACAGAGAACACCATCCGCTTATAACTGCTGCATCAAGAAATGATTCAATGAACAAAGTTGTATAGATTAAAAGTCTATTGTGAATATTAATTTGGTGTTAGGAAGAAATTAAAAGGCTAAAGGCTGAAAACACTGACATGGCCCCACAAGGAAGCTTTTAGTACAGCCGCAAAAACTGTAAGGTCTAATTTTTAAGCTGCTTATTAATTCAACTCATTTGCAAATTAGGCAGACTTATAAGATTGATGAATCATGCATATTGGGCAAACATGGGTACTTTACTTTAACTTGAAAATATTTGTCATTTTCAGTGGGCCAATTTCCCCCCAACTCAGTGCAAAGGAGATAGAGAGCCATAGCCAGACAGATCAACTTGTTGACCTTGCATGACTCACAAGTGGACCCTCTTGATGCTGAGGTAAAAACACAATTATTTGAAAAATGGAGCAGGTTCTTCATTTAAGGCAGCTGGTTCTCTTCTAACTGAAACAAATTATTTTACCTGACCAAAACTTGATATTAGTAGGAGAATCTTTGGTATGCCACTGTGTGCATTTATCTTTAGTATTGCAGGTCCATTTCTTTATATCACAGGTAGGCTCCGTTCATTCATTAGCGAAGACTTACCATCATGGTTGTTGCCAATCAATGTGACACTGAACCATTTATTAGAAAATATCGCAGATTCCCAGTAAATTATAAGCAGGAAATGATAACATGATTTTGATGTGGAATGCCCATTAAATTTTTTTACCTGCTAGAAGCTATGATGAGACAAAAATGAAATTTGACAAAGGACCTAAAGTAGAAATGACACTAAAAGTAAATTAAGATAACACGGTAATATCACAATCTTAGTTACTCTTGTAATATAATGTAATGTACCTAGCTAGTAGATATCCTCACACTGTCTTTCGCATGTATGTGTCAACATTTTTAGGGTAATAAAGATGTACTTCATACAACTTTGAGCCTACTTTTTTCCATGAAAGTAAGGTCTCAAGGAATTCCATCTTGGAAAGGAAACCACAGTTTGACTGAAGAAAGCTCGGCTTATGTTTCATGGGCTACTTAAGGTTGCCATTAATTCGTTTTCCTAATGAAGGAAAGATGTTCTTCGTAATGAAAACGAATTAAGGTTCAGACTTTGGAGCTAAGAATTTGATACTTTTGGAAGTGCTTATAATTGATAGTTTTATTTGACACCTACCTGTTCCAGCATACCAGTTTTATTTGACACCTGCTTTTCTTTTTGTTGTTTGTTCTCATAAATTTTCATTTGTTAAAGTGCGGCTTGATACTAATAATTCTCAAATGCTGCATGTTACTAAGGGCAAGGTAACGGATAATTACTACAGATTTTCGTTATACGCAAACATGCATCACGTATTCACGTTTATTTGAACGGGAACTCGATACATTTGTCGCCAAATAACTGAGTTGAGACCTTCAACACTATTGTTATCCATTACTATTAGAAATTTGCGTATGTGATTTTCTCATTACTGCAGAATCCGATTATCGTATGTTATAATCCTCTCGAAATTATGTTCAACCTAAGACGATCTTCATATGTGAGTTAGTCGCATAATACACAAACGTACACTTATATCCTGGTGCTAAAAACAAATAGTCAATCCTTAAAACAGTGTCCATTTCTGACTACAAATAAATGCTTTAACCTAAAAATAGTTCCTTATTGAATGAAGACCCGCACATTACCATGTCAAAATCTCTAGATTTGATTATTAATAAGAAAAATGAAGTTCAGCACAAAAAATAATAAGGATAAGGAAAACACGAAATTACATGAGTAATAAACTTACAAATTAAAGATAAATTCACGAGAGAACAAATAGATGTAAGGAGGCAAAAAGAGAAAGAGTTATTACATTTTTAAAGAGTTTTTTTTTTTGGTTAAAAACAAAGAAAAATCCATATCATAGATTTGTATTAATTCCCTCTAGGACTAAATGTGGCATGGTTGAACTAAGAGAAATGATAGAGAATATGAACAATGACAGACAAGAATTAGAAGGAAAATTTGTAGATTTTTAAGAATAGAAGACTAAACAAACAACACCCTCTTTTTTCAATTCTCATTCTCTTGTTGGCTGAAATTCTCGAATCTCGCATAAATTTCACCCAAAAATGCCCAGAGAAATTGTGTTACACATTTCATAGAATCTGAAAGAGCCAAAGGCAATAAACCAAAGTGTAAAATAACCGTGGACATTTTATGTGCAAATTAAACAATTTACTTACAATTGCTAACTTGTTTTCACACATTTTATGGTTTAAAATTATATATTACAATTTATAATAGACAATTGGTGTCAGTGGACAAGATGTTAAGAGCCAATCTGATACTCTATTCACATTGGGTTGATTAAATCTCTTTTAATAAACTCATCCCCAATCTAATACTATAGACATTATACATACATACATATATATATATATATATATATATATATATATATATATATATATATATATATATATATATATATATATATATATATATATATATATATATATATATATATATATATATATGCATGTTAAATTGCAACATGCAATGTAAATCACATAACAATATTACTAAAAATAAATTTAGGACAACCAATGCCATCAATTTCCACATTCTTCAAAAATTTGGTCTGTAACAACATTGTATGAGATATTAACATAAACTGTGTCTTGTTATAGCCCCTCTTAAGAACAGACAACAGACATAAATACTTTGACCTGAACCAGCACACAAATATGACCCTGATTGTAGCAAAACAATTAGATCAAAAAAAGAGGAAAATTAGTAGATCTCCATATCCCATGGGGTGCACTGAAACATATTGGTGATCTGTTATTCCTTAACTGGGATCAGACTTGTCCAGAGCTGCACCCAAATGTATACCTCAGTTCAGTAGAGAGCGAATGACATTTGAAAATTAAGACAAGGAAAAAGAAGAACACAGGAAACAGAAATTACCGTTGTAATTGAGTAACTTCTCAATGAGATCAACGTGGGTCATGAGCATGCGCCTACAACAATACCGAACTAGTCCCAATGCATCCAATGCATCTCTGCAATCCATGATGTTAAAAATTAATACAGCAATAGTAAACTATCATTAAAGATCAAGTATATACACAATAGTAACATTTATAACCATCCTTTCAAAATTAGATTTTTGATTGATCTAAAAAAAATAAGAAAAAAGCAGAGAGGAGTAAGGGCACAGACCCTTCACTGTAATCTGCCTGCAGAAGGTCCAAATAGGTGTCCCATTTGTTACCAATAACCTAAATCGGAGAAAAGGAACGAAATTGAGGATTAGTTAAGCAAAACCCTAAATCCTAAAAAGCGTAAAAAGATGAGTTTAACTAATTTTGATTGAGCACGAGATAAATGAATGAAAAGAGGAAGAAAGATGATACCTTTCCACAGGTGAAGCAACGAACGGGGATGATCATCTTCCTCTAATGCTCACACCACGCCCTTCTTTTCTTTATTCTGTTTTTCACAAAACCGATTTTGAAGGTATTTATTCTGTTTCATGATTCAAGCCCATGTTTATTTGGGCCTCTCAAATCAGGTAAATTTTGTTCTTATGCGTGATTACAGAGCTTATTTATTTATTGTTGTTAAAAATAGTTTTCTTTTTTAATTTTATTATTGATTATAGGATTTTTTTATATAATATTTCAAAGAATTTATAATAAATTGTTTTACTAATTTCATAATCAACTATTTTTATAAAAAATTAAAAGTTTAATATATCATTATTGTCAATATTTAATATAAATATATATATAAAGAAAATTATAAAGATGTAAAATAATATTTTATTTTTAAAGTAAGTAAATATTTTAATATATATATATATATATATATATATATATATATATATATATGTGTGTGTGTGTGTGTGTGTGAAAAATAATAGGACTTTTAAATTTTTAATATGAAACTCATAAGTTATAATACATTTTAGAAAACATTTAAGTTATTCTAAACGTAAATGTAGTATTCATTTTTACTTTTGAAATAGATATACCCCTGACAAAGTCTTTTATGAAAACTCTTAAAATTTAGTTAATTTATTTATTCAGAAGAAGATAATTTTTATCTAAAAAACATCAACATAAAATTACTTTATCCTTTTTAATTTTCGTGATATATTATTGGTTAAGAAATAAAAAATTAAAAAGTACTAAAATTCATTTTTATTCAACGATTGACCAAGGATCATTCATTGACGCAATATTTTAATTGATATCATCCTTGGTTAAAGTTCTTATTCATTTTATTCGTAAATATAATTTTATTTATCATAACTAAGTTGAAAAGTCTCAAATATGAACTAAACTAATTTTAACTTAATTTGTTTGTTTTTACCAAGTGTTAAATATTCTCACAATTTAAGTTACAAACCACTACCATCGGCTCCAAACGTTAATTAGAAACGTGCCTTTCAACTCCACCCATAGCCTCAACCATTTCCTCGCAAAGCTTCATTGGTAGTGAAAATGGCTTAGGATCTCGCCCAAGAATAAAACCAACGTCAACATGGAAAAGAACTATAAGGAGGAGATGGTCTAAGTGTCGGCTAATGAAAAAGAAAAATCTAAATAATGACAATAGATAAATTTAATGAATGTATCATTTGCAATGTGTCTGTTCGGGTGATTATATATCTGCAAATTTGATTTTGAAAGAAATTGGTTGTAAAATTGATTTTGATATAAAGTGATTTATAATTAGATGTTTTCATCCTAAAAGTATGTTAATAGTAAACTTCAATATAAGGTTTTTTTTTTCATCAAAATTTAAAGTTGTTTCAACTCAAACAATATTATGCAAATGGGTTGCACGAATTGATGGATGTGTATCTCAACCGTATTTGAAGATATTAAACAACTTATAAGTGTTAACTCAATTTTCTCATTCTGTGTAAAAGGATACATTTTATCTTATAAAGAAGTGTCTTAAAATTGTAGGTTTCTAATTCAATCACCGATAGAATAAATTGTAAGGTTAAAAAATGAAATATGTGCAATCGATTTTATGTTAAGAAAAAGTAACAAAATAATCTATCATATTGATATAAATCCTAAATTGTTTTTGAAGATAATTGATAATCTTAAATATTTGAACTTGCTTCACATCTACTTGTTTCCTAGAGCACTAGACTGACCATATTCATGTTCTAATTAAACTATTTTAATTTATAACATTTTAAGCCACTTGCTTTCGACAAGTGTTAAGTTATCGTTTATTTATCCAAGCAAAATATTTAAAAAAAATTAAGGAATTCAGATTTCAAACATTTTAAATTTACCAAGTAAAAACTAAATTCTTGTTTCATACATAATCTTGTATATTTACAGTACTGTGATCATTCAGCAGAGAAGAATTTCTCCAGGAATTCAACTCAAATACTGAGCTTGGACGCAACATATTTTGACTGAGCTGAGAATGGTACCCGTTTCTGGCCTTCGTCTGAAATCGTATGGAATGCTTAAATCATTACAAGAATAAAAAAAATCGAGCCTAACGTTCTATACACTGTTACTGTCTTTCATCACCAAAACCACCCCAGGACAATAGTCAAGGGTTTATTTCTTATAAACATGAATGAACAAAGTGGTAAGAAACGAATCTGATCAGCGTCTATTGCTGTTCTCTTTCTCGTCTAGTGTTCTTTTGTATCGTACTGCACTCCTTGTTTCAAAAGCTTCAGGTTCATCTGATTTTCCAGCAGCATTCCTATCCCACAATGGCACGCCATGACTATTGGATGACGATGACCTTCGACCAGTCTTTCGTATTTTCACGGGTACATCTGGTTCCACAAAGTTACCCTCTGCCCTAGGGGCTGTGGCAGCGTTTTCAGGCCTGGATTTGGACCTTCTATGTGGTAGTCTATCTTTATTCGCAGCAGCATTTGATTCACTCGTGTTATTATTTTCTTTTCTGAGTTTAAATTTGAGTTTGGGGACTTGGACTTCCATATTCTCTGGCTGCGAAGGAGGCAAATCTGGAACAATAATTACGGTGCATGTCGTCAACTTCTTTTTCGGATTATCGTTCTTGTCATTGGGTTTGATCTGAGACGAGAAATTATAACGATTAACAACGAACAACATGGAAGAAATTTTAAAGCTTAAATAACATTTTTAATACCAATAAATAAATAATTACTGATAAATATAAAACGAAAATTCAAAATACTTTAAGAAATATTTAAATTATTTTATGAACTTTAAATATTTTATGAAGATAAAAGACGTATTTTATCATTTTTCAAAACAGTTTATCGGTACATAAACCCTTTCAAATAAGACTGTTTGAGAATTTGATATTAAGAAAATAATTCAAGAAACAAAAAAAAAATCGATGACAAATGGATTTAATAGTGATTTCTATAGTACATTACCTGGACTCCTTAGATGAAATAAACATATACAATAAAAATATTTCAGCTAATGTGGTTTAGTGAATTTTACCATACAATTTTAAAGAATAAAACATCGAATGAAAAATAGCAAACATAACCCAAAAGCCACCGATCTTAAAACAATTTTGAAGTACTTGCAGTTCCAATCTTAACACTCAAGGATAAAAAATGTAGAATTTGGAAAAGTTTCCCTGAATAATATTTTATAAATATTTAAACATTATAAAAACTAAAATTAATTATACACGACATCGTTTATAAAAAAAATTGAAATAATTATATTTTTATAATCAGATAAACAGTGAATAGATAAAAACATGAGTTTAAAATTTTAAAAATTCAACAAAATTTAACTTAATTTAATAAAATAATATTTTTATAATATAATAAATTTATTAATAATAATTTAAAGATATTAATAAAATTTATTATCATAATAATTATAAATCACAATAAAAATTATAAATATTAAATGAAATAAAAAAGGAAAATGAATAATAATTAAAATAAAATAAAAACATAAAAAATAATAAAATAATTATTATTTAAAATTAACATAATTAACATAAAATAAAGAAAAAAATTAAAATATTATATTTAAAAAAATATGTATTCAAAAAATTAATTTTTTTTTTTATCAAACTCGATTTCATCCTACATTTAATTAATTTATTTTATTTTATACCAGTTTCATTAAAATGTGATTATTTCTAAACAAGAAACCGGTTGGTCCTTTTATCTAAACAGTGGAAGAAAAAAATCGTGAATATAAATTTTTAACCCAGAAAATATATTGACATTATTAAGGACAAGCACCTGTATATTTCCTATGTCAGAGAAAGGTTTTCTGTGCCCTTGGTCACTGTAGGTTACGGGATGCATTTCAACCAGTGCTCCCTGAAGTAACTCTGCACCTTGAGTAACAAGAAGACGATCTTCATCCGTTTCTTCAATACTTGCAGACTGCGTTGGCTCTTCCAGTGGTTCATTTGATATCGATTCTTTGTTCGCACACTTGGTTACTCCGCAACAACAGGAACTCCCACAACTGCTGCCCAGAGTTCTGCAGATGCATTTTGTTGTCTTGCATAATGAGGTTTTGCTACAAGAACAGCAAATATCTGATGCACTTTCCTCAGGTGTATCAAGTACATCTCCTGAATTTTCTTTGAAATCTTCTGAATTGTTTATATTGGATTGATTATTTTCCATGTCTGTTTTAGATTTCCTTTTTCTAACCCTTAATTTTCCTGATTCTTCCCAATCGTCATCGGTAAAATCATAATCATCTGATTCTGTTTCAGATATATCCATGTCCTCCAATAGAAGGGTTGACCGGCGGTAATCCTGAAGTTAAAATATGTTTGCAGCGAATTAAATTATTAATTAACTATTTCCCACTAATTTCATTGGCTAAAAATGCTACTAGTTATGTACTAGTGTGATGATATATGTGAGACCTACCGACTTGCCCAGGTCATACTTATGATCTCCAACATTCAAGTCAGAATCCTCTGAATCTACCCCATATTCGGAGAATCTTTTCAAAGCTTCAATCTGACATACAGTTCAAATGATGCGGGAAAAATATTCAGTAGTTGAAGAATCAAACTTCGAAAGAAAGAAGATTGACTAGTTATTTAATTAAAGCTTTATCCAAATGATAGATAATATGTAGCTAAACCCAAACCTGCAAAGTCGACTTTTGAGTCAATTCATCTTTTATCTTTTCCGACTGTCGAAGTGAGTAGCTTAGCGCCACTACTTTTTCTTTTAGATCCCTTATTTCCGTTTCCTTCTCTCTGCAAATCACTTCTTTATCTCGTAATGAACACCTATGATAAAGAAAAGCCGGAGGAAAATGTCAAACGCACACGGAAATTTTTAGATTAGTTGTGATTTATCACTCAGTTTAACTTCGTAATATACCTGGACGAAGATGCAATATTGAACAAATAAGTCATCAAATTCTTGGCATCAGCAAGGGACCGAACTTGGTTCCAACGCCCTTTTCCACTGAAAATTCGTTCCTGCTCTTCTGCCTCCGACAACTGGGATAACATAGACACTAGAGTTGAGGAAGAAGTCGAAAGCATGTTTTGAAGGGCAAAAATCCTAGAATTTCTTGCAACAGGAGACATTGCTGTGGGACAATCACTACATCAGCAGCAAATGAGAGAGTTTGTCAAATATAGATTACCAGGAAAAGAAAAATTGTATAATTGTTGAACGAAAATGGTTAACTACACGGAATTTCACCTTGTACTGTTTTGATTCTCTCTTCGTGCTTCTTCCTTTAACCTAATAATCTCCTCAGCCATTTTGGCCCTCCTGAAATCAATAGCAACAAATAAATGAATTAGGGAGAAAGCTCTAATAAAAATAAAAAAAAAAAAAAAAAAACTGAAAAACTGTATCATACATTAAAGCCTAATAGAAATTTTAATCTTCGCTATATAACTGTCGTACCATCTAGCATTCTAGCCTAAAATCATTGGGTGCTCAGCTCAAACCAAATGTTATGGATTTCATTGCAAAAAACCAACTTCTATTGCTTTTCACTCTCTTTATAATCTGTCATTGAATGCTTACAGGACCCACAATAATCACAATTACAATTCGTTTTGTAAACTCCTTCAAAAGCCAGTGTTGATAACATCCACTGACCAGCAGATACTCTCTTTAAGACACAAGAATACCATGAAAGTTAGCAAATAATTAGTTCGAGCATTCTCATATATAACAATTACAATTGACTTGTTTATAAAAGTAAAACAACAAATTTGGCACACAACAAAATGACTCAGATTGGCTAGTCCATCCTTTGCTATTTAAAAAGTTTGAGCTAATACAAATTATCATATTCTTAGACGTATAAATTCAACTTATTGCTTTAAAATTCAGTACTCACAAAATTTATCAAGCATGCCACCAACTGATATGAATTTTAAAGATCAAAAAGGGCACATACACTTCCTTTTGACCTTCACATTCTGAACGAACTTCATGCACTCGGACATTGACTTCAATCTCATGATCAATTGCCTTCATCAAAGCCTTTTAAAGAGAAAACACATGTGAATTAGCGGATACCAAAGCATCTATTAGCATGCATGAAATATGATGTGAAGTTTGATCAGTCTGCTAAGAGAAGCATATAAATTTTAATTTGTCCAGGACCATTTAATTAACTACATTCTTGTATGCAGTTTACGAAGTCATCGTTAGCAGTACCTGAACTCCAGGGCCATTCCCACCTCCATTACCTGTTTAAACAATACATTGCTGGTTAGGAGTAAGCTGACGAAATAGGAAAAGGAGCCACATGATGCATAAAATATCCTGACCAATCGTTTCACGCGCGGAAGCTCTTCGAGATTCCAGAAGTTCTTTCAGCCTTTTCGTGGCCAAGGAAGCTTCTTCTGTCTTCCTTTGCAATACCTACAATGAACATACAAATAATGGGATAAAACGGCATGGAAATAAGACCATAACAACAAGCGATATGAACATCAACTCACCATCTTTTGCCTCTGGTTCAACGCTAACAACTTATGCATCTCATATTCATTCCTTCTCCCCTCTTTCTTAAGCTGGAATTAATCAAAATACGAATTAGAAGAATTGCTATTAGTATTCATAACTAAAATATTTGTTGAAACAATGTTGGTGAGAGATGTTGTTATGCTTGCACCAAAAGAGTTACCCGATCGCCTCTCTATTGGGGCTAGAGAAAAACGTATAGAGAAGAGCAGTATCAAATTAGACTCCCAGAAGTTGGGAAAAGCTTATCATCTACATGATTATAATAATAACCTAAGAATGTTATTAAAGAAACAAGCTGAAATGTACCCATTTGAATTTACCTGGAGAACTTCTTTTTCACGCGAAACTTTCCATAACCTAAATTGTTCTGATTCCTGCTTTATCTTATTTTGAAGATGAACCTAGAGGGGAGGAAAAGAAGCTATGACGAGTCCCAAAAAGGAGAATATAAATTTTCTGCTAGTAACTACAAATACAATGTCTCACGAGATCATCGCACCTTTTGTGCTTTAATTCTGTGGATCTCATCCTGAAGTCCTTTTGCAAACTCGTCAGTCTTCTGTTTTTGTTTCATGAGTTGAGCTTGAGCATCTTGCTTCTTTTTCAACTCAGATACCTATAAAGTAAATTGTCAGTTTATGAATTGCTTTGAGTATGGATCGAGCATTGACACATTTTGAAATATAAAACCACCTCGGCTTCAAGAGCATTCAACTTTTGAAGATAATCCTGCTTCAATTTTTGAGCACCGTCATCAGAGGTGGATGAAATATCCGCAAGATTGCATTTGAGTTCCTCAATTTCTTTCTAGCAAAAAAATATGGAAGGGGATTATCACACTGTTTTTATTATGTAAAACAAACTTCACTAGAAGCACATTAGATGTCATAGCACAGGGCAATAAATTACCTGCAAAACTTTCTTCTCTTGTTCCATCTCAATAAGTTTCTTTTCATAATGATGCCTAAGAACTGAAGCATCAGCATTACTGTATAGCTTCATTTCAGCCTCAACCAGAGAAAAAATAAAAAATTAGAAATGTAATACAACAGATTTAGACCATGCTTTACACTTTGAAAGCAGTCTTATGAAGCCAAACTTTAATTCTAAATAAAAGTTTTTCGTATAATTTTATCCTCTTCAAATCTACTTTGATAAATAACATTTTTCTTGTGAGACTGATATTGGCCATGCTTTACAATTCGAAAGCAGTCTTATGAAGCCAAGCTTTCATTTCTAAACAAAAGTTTTTCGTATAATTTTACCCCCTACAAATCTGCATTGGTAATTAACATTTCTTTTATGCGACTAATATATAAGTTTCGTGGCCGCCTTATGTGCAGTGTTGCATTTAAACCCATGTCAACTAAATATATGACTTGAATATAACTTATAATCATCACATTTTTAGCAGGCTTTATGAAGTTGAATTCAATTATAAGATCAAATTTTGAGGTGTTATAACGTATCCTAGGTCTATTGTTTAGTTGCGGAGATATGGCTTATATTTACGTTATAAAGCATGGGAAATCCTTATCATTTTGTGGAGTTTAAGTTAGTTAGCCCGAAGCCCAAATTCTATGAAATAGTACTTACAATTAAATCTGAGATTTTTATTGCAGGATAGTCAACAACTGAGGGGAGGCTAAAAATAAAAATAGTACAAGATGAATGAAAACATTGGACATTTACGTTAACTACAATGTGACAGTGTTAGTTAACGACAACCTTCTTAGATAAAAGAATATAGTGTAAACTGTGAGCTACAGACTTATTTTCAAAACTAGAAGGAAGGTTACAAGAAAGGAAAATTCAGAGGAACTACGCCTTTGAACGCTAAAGCTAGCTTCGACTCCTTGGGTTATCAAAAAGGAAAAAAAGAGGTGAAAAAATAGTGCTCACACGAAAAAGCATTATTTCTAGATGGAAAACGTGGGCTCATAATACTGCTTTTAAAATGCGAAAATGATCAGTTGTTGCTTTTTACGAAATCGCATCATTTGATAAAAGTATCAGCAATTCAAAACTCGATTAACTGCAAAAACAACTATCAACTGTAAATGGCATAACAGCTAGAAAAGCAAATTTTACCTCCTTTTGTTCAAGTTTTTTATCCAATTCTTTGAGCTCGTTATCCAAATTTTCTTTAAGAGACGAGTGTTCTAGCTCCTTTTCATCCTCCTCCATTTCATCTGTGCAAACAAGGTACAAATATTTAGAAAACATCAATATTTTTAGGGTAAAATGCCAATGTGCGTAGAAAGAAAAATGAAAACTATAGCAAAGTCAGAATTAAGTAGGCCAAATGATGTTGCAGTATTCTTCAGAATCAATTAAGTAATCCCAAAATTAACGGATGGACTTGTCTCAACTATGAAAAATTAGTCATCCATACTTTAGTGTCAGCTACAAACATTAAAATTCAATTAAAGATGTTGATAGGTCCATAATATATGAGTAAAAAGGGAGAGGAAAATAAAGAAATGAGGCAATAGAGCAAGAAATGGGCCTCAACCAGGCCAGCGGGTATATAAAAGAAGAAAGAAACAGGTGCCAAAAGAAGAGGGGGAGATAAAAGGACTGGGAAGGGAAATACCAGCATCGACAGGTGGCAATTTATAGTGGAGGATGCAAATTATGGGATCAAGCGACGAGAGAGAGATATTTGAGAGAGGGCAATGGAAGGGAGGGGAGTTTTTTGGTCAGAGGTTTTTGGTGGTCTTGTCTACGCAAGGAGCTGACCCTTCTCCCAGTCAATAGTGGTGCTAGCCTTTTTATATTGAATTTTCTATTTCGTTCCATCCTGACTGGAGCATTGCTCCATTCCATCACATCTATGCTTTATTTTATAACACTGTGTATAAGATTCTTCCTTTGACAATATAATTTCATATTAACAGAGATATCATTTTCTTTTCAATCTTTTACTGGTTCCTATCAGATGACTGCACCGCAATACTACAATGAGAAATTCACAACGCACTATACTGATTTAGCAACAGCTTTGACATAACAATCAGAAGAAAACGCACCAGGTACGAATAAAGCATGTTTTGATCCATATCCATCATCATCGGAATCAACACAATCAATAAAACGACTTGAATTCGTGGCATTTGAAGTTTTCAATCGTAGCAATTCTCCTTCCAAATCTTGGATCTTTGACACATAAGATTTCAGTAGGACATAATCCTATAAATAAGTTCAGAGTATAATTCAGTGATGGATCTACTTATGAAAACAGTAACCACCCATTAAGATAGACATCACACGTTCAAACCTGATTTGAATTTGGGTCGATCTCATCCCATGATTTACCATTTCGAATTGATTCTATTTTCAAAACCAGTTGGTCTTTCTCAACCTAAAATCATTCGGTTTTGTGAGTGAGACCAGCACTTGAAGTAAAAGAAAACTACAGAGATATTGTAAGAAACTCACAACATTGAGTATTACTGTCAAGGGAGTAAGGATCAAAAGAAAACCTGGGCGTCAAGAGCACGTTGCGCTAAACTCTCGCAATTCACGTGGCGTCTTTTAAGCTCATGCTGTAGCTCTGCATTACTTGCTTCAAGTAAGGATATTTTGCGTTTAAGAATCTGAAAATTTTTTTAAAAAGAAAAATATCATCGAAGGACATAAAGAAACACTTAAACAAATCTAACAACTTCTAAAAATGATGTACCTGAAGCTCCTCGATTGGTCCACCGGTATCACCTCTATAAAATAGAAGCTCAGCTTGTAATTGCTCAATCTGATTCCGCATTGTCTGTACCTGAGTTGCCACTGGATCTCGATTAATCTGGAACAATAAAATTCAAAATCATCAGAACCAAAATACCCTGTCTAGAGTAAAAAATGAACAAGGGATAGAAAATATGAATACAAGGCACTTACAATTGCCTTGTTATGAATGTTACGAGCACGATTTGCGTATTTTAAAGTGTTCAATGTCTCTTCAGCATTTGTATCAGCTGGACTAACACATGCTGTAACATTCTCGACAGGTTAGATGATGCATTTGATGTGAAACACAAATATATAAAAAATTCCATCATGCATCATGTTTGTACCTATCATCACAGTTTTGCTGTTTCCTCCCAGAGAATCCTACATATTCATCATCCAATCGCATGTCATGATAGAAATATATATCCATTCCATAGATATGTTCAAATAATTACTAAAAAAAAAAGCTTATTAAAACGTATTTTCTGTAACGGGGTTTTTAAAACATGTTACAAGATAGGGTTGGCGATACATTCTATCCACCTGTCACTTTAGTTCAATAGTTTTCAGACGTAAAATAATGACAAGGTGAAGTATCAACAATGCATGAACTCATGCGTTAACATTTAAACAAAAGTTCTGTTTTTACGTCTTACTATTTCTTACATTAGTTCACATCGTAGAAAGAATCATTAATGCAAATGATACAATGGACAAGACAGATGTACCAAGTATAAGTGTTACTACTTTTATTGCTTAACCTGAAGTAGGCGCGTTAACTTGCTATCACGATATGGCACATGCCCTCCTTCTTTTCGCTTTTTTTCATCTCCCAGTGCACTTATTACATTTCCAAGCGCTAATAAACCCTTGTTGATATGAATTCCTAATCCATATAAAAAAATGAATACTAAATGCAAAGAACTCATCTAGCAGAATGGGCTTCAATTAAGTCTATTTTCAAATTTTTATATTTTAACAATTTTACAGATATACTGTTTTTTTTTTATAAAACCTAATATTCTTAACCCTAGAATTTGGTCGTATTGTATCATTGACAATGAGAAATACCTTCTTTTAAACGCAAGCCATCCGCACCAGTTCGTTTCACTCGCTCAGAACCAGCTAGGTCCACCAAATGGAGTTTGGCACATAAGATGTCGTCACCTTTCTTTTGCTCCATTGTGATTGTGAAGATAGCATGTGAACGACTAGGCAAAATATGTGAACCACACAGTAAACATTATATAAATTAATTTTCCATTCTGAAATTTCATGCGTATCATTATTGTTGTCAAAGTAAAAGAATCTGAAAACATTTTGATGACATTTTACCTTGATTGACTATTCATATTTGTACTCCCAGTAGCACGTGACGATGAACCACTTGAGAGATACGATGCCATTTCATCTTTTGTCTTAACATCAGCCTCAGTCACCCCAGCAAGTGTTATTCCTCCGTTCGTACTTTCTCTGATTTGTATGGGAACTCTGGTGGGTGCCGCAACCTTTGCCATAGATGCTGCATCTCCTTTAGATGAACTAGAATCAAGCAAATCAAAAACCTCTTCTTTGAATATCTGTCAATTTTTAGAAAATCAAGATTTAATAGTTTGATCTCATTTGACAATAAAGGATAAATTCATCTTCATCAAACAACAATATAACATTTAGTTTACCTCAATAAATGATACTCTAATCAAGAATTCTGTGGAATCATTTGTAGCCTTAACTCTGTCGAATATGGTCTCCAATACCTTGGGTATAATACCTCCACTACTCCCCTCTCCATTATAGTTGGTGCCCATGGTATATGTTTTCCCAGAGCCCGTCTTACAAAACGAGAAAGAAATTTGAAGAAAAAAACACTCAACCACAATTGCAGGATATAGATAACAAACCACAAGTTTCCCAAACATTTCACAATCATCACGAGCTAAACTAACCAACAACATTTGAAATTATACCTGACCGTACGCAAGAACTGTAGCATTATATCCATGGAAGACTGCATCAACAAGCGGTGCCACACAATCGTCGTAAATTAAAGATGAAGATGGCCCCGTGCTACCATACACATAATCATACGTGAAACAGTGTGATCCTATTTGCACCTACCGAACACGCCAACAGCAATTTCATAGGTTTTAGGAAAAAAAAAAACTCTAAAATTGCCAAATAAACCTTATCTCGAAACCGAAAGAATTCTGAAACAACATAGCACCTGAGGTTCACCGGGGACAACCGAAATACAATCTGTGCAACCGTGAAGCAGCTCCGACGTAATCAATGGACGTATATTCACCGCGACTCGCACGCATTCGGCCTCCATAGTCTCTGTCTAACTTAACCGGTTTGAAAAGCTATATTCGTAATTTAGCTCAAAATTCAATATCGTGATCAATGTGAAAAACACGAATCGTCGAAACAGGTGAATTTCGGAAGCATCAAAGAGAAAGAGGGTTTGCGTGTGAGTTTTCCTGTGAGGAAGAGTGTGAGAGGAAAGAGAAGGGAGAATCAACGACAGAAAAAATGGATTTCTGCTTCGTGGATAAGGAGGAACAGGAGGGAACGAAACGAAAGGGATTTAAGTTTCGTTTGGATATTTGAATAACGAGAATTTTAATGAGGACATATTGTTGGGTTTGCATTGAACGGAAATGGAGAAAAAGGCGCTTAGGTCGAATTCAAATACGGAATGTGATCACGCGCGTGTCAAGAACGGGCAACTATCGGTTTAGTAGTCTATGCGGGCTTGAGTGAAACGTAACCCCATAAAAAAAAAAAAAAAATGGGGAGTGGTTTTTATCCAAATCCAATTATATATTATTATTTCTTTTCTTTTATCCAATTTCAATGCTGTTGATGATCAATTCTTTGCAAGTATAAATAAGTCAAACTAAGAAACAGTAATTATTGTCAGTATAAATTTTTGTGATTTTTAATATATTTGTAATTTAATTTTTATATGTGTAATCTATTTTTAATTGGATCATGAATCAAATTAAAAATATAAAACATATATTAAAATTAACTTAAGAATGCGACAGAAACTAACGGTAACGAAAACTAAATTAATAATGTTTTATACATATAACAACCAATTTGATATAGTGATCAAATTAAGAATTTGTGTAAAAAAAAAAACTATTTTCATCAAATTAAGAATTCTTAGACATTGACTAAAATGGAAAAAAAATAATGTTACCTAAAATAATTAAGAATTACATTTTTTCTAATATATTATTTTCTATATCTTCAGAAAAGTATTTACTTTTAATTGGGTGTACCTAAAGTTAACATGTTATGTCCACGTTTATTGAAAATAATAAAAGTACCTAATTTAATAACCAGTGTCTTGAAAAAAAAATTATAATCCATATTTTTTATTTTATTAAGTTTTTCTATATAATTTTAATATATTATACATTAATCTAAATTTACAAAGTATATGCTATAGATGCTATAGGAACTATTATTATTATATGCATATTTTATGAAACCAATACGGAGAAAATAATCTCTTAAATTTAGATAAAAATTAATATAAGTGACAAATGACCTTTTAAAACTATTGTTAAATGAAAAACTATGTCAAGTTGAATTTTTAGTCCAACAAGTTAAAATGAAATGAAAAATTATAAATATAATTCATTATATTTTATTTAAATTGTTAGAATTAAAGGGAGACAAGAGGTTTTGTAATTATATGTTTTGTAATTACAATATTAGCCATCAATAATAATTAACAATAAAAGTAATTGATTTAAATTCAATTATATGTCAATAATATCTAAAATTAACACAGCTTATATATTTATTTTACTATTTTAAATTATCAAATTTTGTTAATTATGTCTATCTTTACGTATAATATTTTCATAATTATAGATAATATTGTATAAATTTTAATAAATTATATAAAACCAAATTTTATATAAGATTCAAAATACATGTATAATTTAATTGATTGATTTATCCGACCATTCAAAAGCAATTATGACACATAAGAAGGTATTTTTGGTTTAAAAAGTTTAAGTAATGGTATTTAGATCTTATTATTTATTTATAGAACTAACTTTACAATAGAAATATTATATTAATAAAATTTGTCAAAGGTTATAATCTTATGCAATGATAATATAACTTATAAGGAATAAATTTGTACCTTATGCTAAACTTATTATTATCATAATATAATTTTTAAAACTGCACCACTAATTATTTTCACACTTGAATGTAATTTTTCTGACACTGCTAATAAATTTTAGTCAAATTAAATTTGGGATGATAAACTGAATCACTAAATAGATTTTATTTTCGATTATCATTTATCACAATTTATATCTATTTTCAATTAAAAATATAATTTTATCTAATTTATTGAATTAAAATTCAATATATCGGATAAATACTCTTTCTTAAAAATAACATTTTAAAATTAAAAAATAATACTTCTGTATAGATAAAATTATTTATTCATTAATTAAAAAATTATAAATCATTTCCTTCATAAATGAAATAAAGAACAAACTTTTTTATTCATTAAATATTAGTTACAAGTTTTTTTTAATCTTACACATTTAATAAAAAATTAATATGATTAATCAGTTGAATTCATCCATAAAAATAACATTTTAAAAATATAATGAGAATATATTTTGATAAAAAGTCAAAATTAAAAATAAATTATTGAAAACAATAAAAAACAAAACAGTTAACTAAAGAAAAATAATTTGATCTTTTTTAATCATAAATATTGACAAAGTAAAAAATTATTAATCAATTATAAAATTAATTATATGAATTTGATATGATTTGTATTTTTGTAATATGTGAATTATTATTTAAAAAACTAAGTAGATTATGGATAAATATTTTTAATTATAAATTAAATATTATAATATAAATATATAGTATCGTTATCCTTTGACCTTAAAATATATGGTAGGAGAGTCTTGTTGTAAAGCATAAATTATAAATTTGACCTTGAAAAACAATACTTTGTTTATGTTTGCGAAATGTTATATAATTGAATTTAAATCAAAGTAAAATAAAATATAAAAATTTTTAAAATAAATACAAAAAATTATATAATATAAAGCTTAAAAGAGTTCATCCAAATGTGACTATGAATTAATTTTTGTTTTTAATAATAACATCAGAAAAATATTATAGCTAAATTTTAAAAAATAATTATTTCTTTCTTTCGTTTTTTTATGTTTAATTTTGTAAATATATGTGGTTCCTAAAATTGTGAAAAAAAATTCATCAATTATATTCACATTTGTAATTAATTTTAAAAATAATTAATATAAAAAATATTATGATAAAAATGTTAATAAAAATTAATAAATTTATTAAAAAATATATATTTATCTTGATTATAACTAGCCAACAAATTTATATGATGGATAAATTGTTACGTACGTACGTACGTATGTATGTATGTATGTATGTATGTATTATTATTATTATTATTATTATTATTATTATTATTATTATTATTATTATTATTATTATTATTATTATTATTATTATTATTATTATTATTATTATTATAAAAATATTACACATAGCAAAAACTTTGTATCTCTACACTGCCAAAAATTATTTATATATGTGCGAAGGGAGAAGGAATGGTAGCAACAAGTGATTCTCCCTCCCATCCTTCTTCTTTTTTCGTCTAAATTTCAAGCAAACGATACTCTAATCGAGCAGATGTTGACAAAATTTTGGTCATGTATATATATGATACATAATTAAAATGTGTTAGGACCATTATTTATTAAGTCAAATAATAAGCGATGACTAAATTAAAAAGTTTGGCTAAAGGCATATGTCATGAAAATAAAATTGTGTAGAGACCATAGAGAAATTTCTAATTTGATGAGGGGTCAAATTAGAAATACTAAAACTTAAGTAATTAACCTAATTCTGGTTATTTTAAGGGGTCATGGTCCCCTTATGGGAGCACGTAGACAGAACATAAGTTTCACTCCCGTTCCTTTCTTTCTAGTCCCATCAAGAGAGAAAATCAAGAAGGAAATACAGGTGCTCTTCAGGTAGAAGATCATAAGATCAATATAATATTCTATAAAGACATCATCATTATGACTAATTCAGGTACGCTTTCGCATTTAGTTTATAACATATTTATCAGTATGGGATTATATTTATGTTTAATAGGTGGAAGACCATAAGATCAATATAGTGTTCTATAAAGACATCATCATTATGGCTAATTTAGGTACGCTTTCGCATTCAGTTTACAACATGTTTATCAGTATGGGATTATATTTATGTTTGATAGTTAGAATCAAAATCAGGATTATAATTATTATTAGTTTTCTAACAATTGGTATCAGAGCCGTCCATACTTGATTCATGTCTGTCGTAGGAAATATTTAAAAATTCAGATTTTGTTTAATTTATAAAATCTCAATTACCGTGAACCCTAAAATTTTAATTTGGGGGTAACATCCCCAATCTGATTCTGCTCGCTGATGGAACCGTGGAGGAAGCTATGGATTCTTTTTCTTCTTCGTTTTTCCCTATTGTTTCAGTTTAAGTTTCAAGTTTTACTGAGAAAGAAATAATGTTTCAAATTTCAATCTTTCTTATATTGGGTTCTCTTTGAATCTTTTGTTTTTGTTTTTATTTAATTTTCTGGGTTTTATTTTCGTTTTCTTTTCATGGTGAATATGGATGAGTTTGGAATTGGGGGTGGTGTTTAGGGAGTTCCTAACACAGAGGATCTTAGGTAACTGGTGAATGTTTCTACAGGTGTGATTGTTATTATTTTATTGCATTTATCCTCTAGGGATTTAAGGAAAGTTGATGTTAAATTCCCTGTTTAGGGTTTGAGTGATTACTATTTAATCCCCTTTTAGGGTTTAGAGCAGTGTGTTAAAGATGGTCATATCTATCTCTATTTCATCCCTAGTATAATTTTAGGGAGATGTTCATCCTTTATTTATTGGTGGAAAATGAGGTGTTTTTCATCATTTGATTTGTTCAAACGAGGTGTTCATCCCTAATGGGATTCTAGGGAGGTGTTCATCCTTAGTGGAATTCTAATGAGGTGGTTATCTTTTGAATTGGTTTGCAAATATTAAATATTTGGTTTTGTTATATAAATAAAATATTCAATTTTTTTGCTAGTTTAATATTTTTGGTGAGCAAATTGAGTCAAGAAGTCACCAAAGTAACTTCTCTTGAATTAGGCAGTTCATGAAAAATATTGAATGTTAGTGTTTGTGTATATTCATGCGAGTATTAGTCGGCCCAAAGGAAGATTAATATTTGGCCGAATTGCATATACACTTGTAA